CTGGACCAGGCTGAGGTATTTAACAGAAAAGCTCTCAGTGCTGCACAGAGACTGGGAACACGCAGAAGGGACAATAAGGTGTTTGTTCACAGAGATCATAGAGCAACGGTCTGTAGTTTTACGTGGGAGAAGAGAAACCACTCTTGGGCAGACATTGGGCACGCTGTCCCAATAGAGCTGAGAGCCCTCTTGGTGCCTGCTGGGTGATGGTGCCTCCTCAAACCTCACCATCACCACAGCTGGTGCCTGAAAATAATCATGCTAGATGGAGGTATCCTAGGGAAACTGTTTTTCCCTAATGGGGAACAAACAGGGGATGGAAAACCAGTTGAGAAGAGAGAATGCAAGGCCAAATAAGAAGTGCTGGTTTTGATTCTTGTTCAGGAGCTTCTTTATGTCCATGGTTTTGAAGGAAATGTTGTCTTTGGAAACACTCTTATGCCCAGGCATATCTTCTAGTTAATGAGTGGCATTTTATTAGCTGCCAGAAATAATACGTAAGTGTATTAAAGGTCTTCCAAATCTGAGAAACAAGGAAGCTTGAAGAGATCCTTCAATAAATAAATAAATAAATAAATAAATAAGGACAACAGCAGGATTAAGGGTGATGAAAATAAATTTAATTGCAACAAGAGTGATTAACATGGTATGGAACAAGCAAAGGCCACAGGAGAAACTGCAGATGGGGCTCAATTAAAATAAACTAGAAGAGAAAATGCTTTCCAGCAAGCAAACAAGTTAGACTGCTGCAAATGGGCCATCTGGCTATTTTCCACTGTACAGTCTTACTGTGTAGGCACTTTGTTGGACTTTGACTGCCGTGACTTCTCTTTTTCTTGCTCTCTCCAGATTCTTCATTGCTTTGAAAAGCTGGGGACAGGGTTGGAAGAGTGAGGGATTAAACCTGTCTGCACATATGTACACACTTTGCTCCACACACACTTAGATTCTCAAATAAACAGATTTATATGCAGCCAATTTAGGATAGTCTGCACACAACCTGATACAGAAGCATGGCCTTAAGGCGTAAAATAAAGTGGCAAGAAACGCCAGTAAAAGAGATAGTTGTTCTCTGGGGCAGAGACACACAGAGCCTCCCAGCATTTCCCGACTCTGTCATTTTTGGAAAGGCAAGAGCTTTTCCCGAATTCTTACTGGCCTGGGCTGAGCTGGTCACTGGTTAGGGCAGGTAGGATAGCTGGGATTTTTGTGGCAGTTTGGTTGGATTCTTGCTCTGCTGCTTGGTGCCCTGTGCTGGGATGGTTTTCCTGCTGCAAAGGGATACCTGTGATGTTGTCCCACCTCCTCCTCTCCTCCTGCCACAAAAGCTGCTTGCTGTAGCTGTTCTCCCAGCAAAAGCAATTAGAGCTTTGCAATAAAGTCATTTGCAGGACTAGAAGGTGCTCTGTTAGCACGGACCTTGTAGAAAGCATAACATGATCACAGTTCCTTGTGTGTCAGGCCGTGAGCTGCAAAAATGATTCTCTCTTAGCCTTAGGGCAGTCCTGTCTTAGGGACAGCTCTCCCTAGGGAGAGCTCCACCAAAGTGTCTGCAGAACTTTTCTTCCAAGTGATGTTTTCTACTAGAAGATAAGGAACTTGCAACTGAGTTGGAGTTTGTCAGCAATTACCTGTTAGCTTCTATGGGCTTAGCAGCCCACCTTTCTGTGGTTACTTTGTTAAAGCAGCCAAATGAAGTTATTGCCAGAAACCTGTGTTATTCATGACACATATGGGAGAGGCATTGGCTGTATCCCTAATGTGTTGCTCAGACCCACTTCTCTCCTTATCCCTTCAGCCACAGCTGGGGCCATCAGGAAGATCCTGAGCAGGATTGGATAGGCAGTGGAGCTCTCAGTCATCAGCTCTGAGGCATATGTTGCGTGGTCTGGTTTAAATGTTGAGGAGTGTGACCCAGTTTCCTGAGCTGTGAAGACCACATCTCCATCATCTGCACTATTGGTGTAGTCTCAGCAGGTTGTTGTCTTTATTTATACAAACCCAGAACTGCCCTTTGAAGCAGCACTTTGCTCATTATCGTGCAGTCGGCCATCCCACTGGAGACGTGCAAGTGTTACAGCATGGAACCACTGCCATACAAATGGGACAAGAATCAGAGGCACTCCCAGTGCTGCAAATCCCAACCAGTGCTGTGTGCAGGCTCAGGGCCAGATCTCTTTGGCGTGCTTACAGGGAGTGTGAAATGGAGATCAGCATTGGAAACAGCACCCTGATGAGTAGGCTGGGTTTCTTACTGGCAGGGAGTCAATGTATTGGAAGAATACACTCAAAATATTATTACTGTGATTTGTTTAACCACTGCTCACAAGGAAAAGCATTGCTTCTGGGCTTCTATTGGATAAGGGGAGGTTGGATTTTTTCCCTGCAGCTAAGCAAACTGTGAAGATACTGTTTGTCTCAGCTGTTAACCTACGAGGCTATTTTTCCATGTGAAAGATCAGCATAGATTTTGAGTGAGACCAGGAGTGCATGGGCTCGTCCCAAAACTTTAAAGGTATGCAAAAATGCTGAAGCTGTTCAAGCTCTTTGCAATGCCTCATGTGTTAGCAGTGACTCATCTGTAACCTGGAGATGTTCTCTAAAATACAGATTAAGCCCTTATCCATCTCCTCCACTGGCAGCTTACCCCTAAATCTCTTTCTCCTTCCTGATACCTCTCCTGGGCAGACCTCAGGGATGGCTGGCTTAGGTTGAACAGGAAAAGCAGTTAACTTTACACTGAGTTTGCCGTCGATTCTATAAGGCTGTTAAAAAGTTTGCATGATATTCATGGTTCTTTGTACTGCCTAGAGCCAGGCGAGATGAATAATACAAGAGCAGAGATTGGAACACTGATATATTTGTATTCATGAATTTTTATGTCAGAAGGAATCATTCTGGGCTGATCTCCTGGGCATCTAGACCCTTCAAACTTCACCCAGCTATCTCTGTATCAAACCCAGTAACTTACTTTGCCTAAGCCATATCTTGCAAAAAGGTCTCCAAGTATGGATTTGAAACTACCAAGGGATAGAAACTCTGTTGCTTCCCTTGGCACCAGTTCCAGTGATCCATCACCCCATGTTTAAAATGTGGGCTTTGTTTCCCATTTGAATTTGATTGGCATATGGTTCCCAGCTAGTAGTTCTTGTTATGCCTTTCTGTTAGATTAAAGAGCCCTTGCTGGGGTCGATGCTTGGACTGGTTGATCTCAATGGTCTTTTCCAACTTCGTGATTCTACAATTATCAATAGTATGCATCCTCATAGTACAGAACGCCGTGAAATTCAAACCTTATCAAAATCTAATTACATTATGTTATAACCATGAAGGCAGATTTATCAAACGAACTTAGAATTATACCAACCAACAATACAAAGTATGGAAGCACCTGTTTTCTCTGGAAATTCCTCAGCTAAAATAGATATGATATGTATTCTTCAGTGCTTAGTGAATTGAAGGCAGTATCAGATTTTCCATTATTTTGCCTGCAACTGATGTCAGTCAAACCAGGAGGTTCTTTGCGTGTCATTGCTGACTGTTGGCACAGTGCTCTAGTGTTTAGGACCTGCCCAAGTGCTCCAGCACACATTAAAAACGAACACCAGTGGGCCAGCAGTTTTTGCAGCCAGCTCTTTAAGGACTCCTGAGTATGGCTGATTTCACTTTATTTATCCATAGCAGATGGTGTTTCCAATTCTTGCTTCTGAGGAGCATAAGGCACTTCTCTGCCCCCAGACCATCCCGTGCTCTGTCTCTGCTATTGTCCAGCTTCTGGGTGCCAAACCCCTTGGCCTCGTCTGCATCACTGCAGCATGACAACTGTCTTTGTTTCCCCCTACTGATGGCCAGGACCATGGCTGTGGTTTGTTTTGTCCTAGTAAGTTGATTATACATGTATAAGTCATTCCTAGCTAAAAGGACACACAAACACACACACACAACTCCACAGTTTTTCCCTGAGGTTGGCACTAACCGACATTTTTATTCCCAGGCCCAACAGAAATTGAGATATGTCTGGTTTGATCTCACACAGCCCTACAAGTGCTTCTCTGCCAATGTGGTCCAGCCCCATCCTGTCCTGTTCTCCTCCAGTACAGCTGTCTATTAACAAAAGACTTCACAGAGATCACGTTCTGTGATGTTTCATGTTGAAATGAATGAGTGCACGGAGGTCAATTTTTCAGCATCAAAAGGCTAATGCTGGACTGTTCAGGAAGAGGTTGGTTTTTTTTTGCCACAAATTGTGCCAGTGATGCTATTTAGAGGCCCTTTCTTCTAGACTGATAGGTTATATACTCAGGATGTTCCCTACCAGCTGGGATCTTTCTGGATAACACAGAAGAGAAATGGCAAGTATTTGGACAGGTGACCTCAAAGGAAACTCCGGTGATTCAGTAGGTGTGGTCCATCCTCCTGAGTCACAGTGGAAATGTGGTGCCAAACAATGTCATGTTGCTGGAGGACACAGTTTTTACTGGAAATATAAAAACCGACTTGAGCACTTGCAGCTATTTTATATCTAATGACATGGTACAGAAGAACTATTATGAATGATAATCCGTTTAGGATTAATTTAGTTGGTCTAGCCTATATTGCTTCTGTCATTCAGTGTCAGTAGGATGCTCTTTTCTTTTCATAAGCTTTCTGAAGTATCAGGTTGCTCTCACTAGCTGATTGATCCTGACAAGATATTTGTTGTATGGGGCTACAATGCCAAGAATTACATCCTATGGATTCCCTATATCAATTCAGGATCCATTTGCATTTAAGTCTATGTATGCTGTCATTGCAATGAGTGGAACTAAAGCACTGCAACCTTTGGTTTTTCCACTTTATGGGGACAGTTTTCCCTTTAAGGTGTACAAAATGCATCCAGACATCTGGCCCCAGAGCCACGTTGGCTTGGATGGAAGATGCTGGTCAGGGGCAGCTCTTGCTGTGAGCTAGTGCTGAAAGCATTGCCCTGCCCCACTGCATCACCCACAGCTCCTCTCTACACAAACATACATCTGTTATAAATCCTTTTTCCCTGTGTTGTTCCCGGCAGGTAAACTATGACCACTCTACTACTAGTGTTTGTGTGTTTGCAAGCCATCACCACAGCTGCCTCCGCAGAGCTCTCAGGTACGTGCTGCAGGGTGCTAGGAGCCAGCACTGAGCAAGGTGCTGCACACTGGTCCCATCACCAAATGGGGACACCTATAGGTGTGCCCACGACTTGCTCTGTGTATGCCAGGGGCCCTTCTTTGGATGGGTGCAGTGCCACAGTCTGTCATTGTTATTGTGCTTGAGAGGATGGGAAGACAGTCAAACATGGGTTTATGGGGAAGTCAAGGGAATTTCAGCATTCCCCCTTTCTTTTGCCCTATCAGTGTGATCTCGTGTTGTGGACAGCAGCCACACTGCAGTAGGCCCCTTCACTCCATTCATCCCCACATTTGGCATTGCTTCCAACTCCCAAGAGCAACCATGGAGCAAGGGTAATTGTTGTAACCTCCGTTTCTGCAAGGCTTTTTCAACAGACTAGCCAAAAAGGGTACGCTTGAATATGTGGGTGTAGGAGGCTTTCAAAGCAGACAGAGGCACTGCAGCATATGGAAGCACTGGATATTTAGGATGAGGTGCATTACTGATGTAACCTTTGCTTTGTTTGGGAACTGGCAGACAGTAGCGATGGCCTGGAAGTGAAGATACCTGAGCAGTCTCCCCTGCGTGTTGTCCTGGGAAGCTCCCTGAACATCCCCTGCTATTTCAACATCCCAGAGGAAGAGGACACCAGTGCTCTGCTAACCCCACGGATCAAATGGAGCAAGCTTTCCAATGGAACAGAGGTCGTCTTACTAGTGGCCACCGGTGGGAAGATCCGGCTCAATGCAGAGTACAGAGAGGTGATCTCCTTGCCCAATTACCCTGCCATCCCTACTGATGCCACCTTGGAAATCAAGGCGCTGAGATCCAACCACACTGGGATTTATCGCTGTGAAGTGATGTATGGGATTGAGGACAGACAAGACACAATAGAAGTCCTGGTGAAAGGTGAGACCCTGCCTTTGCTGCTTCCTCCCAGAATCTGGCCTGGGCAGAAAGGAGAGAAGGTGCTGCTCTCTTTATAAGCACCAACCCTTCTGGTCAGGTCACACGGGGCCATGTGCAGGTGAGGACAAGCCATGGGCCAAGCATTTATTCCAGCAGAGCAAACAAAACAGTAGAATGACTCATGGCACAATATGATGCCAGTAAACTGACTCCTCTGACAAGGTGAGTTACAGAGACGGCAAGATGATGTCTTGGCAGGAGGTGGAGCTGGATATTCTGGGCCATTGCTCAGAGGAGTGAATCAGGAGCAGGGCTAGTGCAAAGCCTTTTAATTCTTCCAAATATTACAGGAGAAGGGATGCCCTCAGCTGGACAATTAGTCTGTTCTGGATTTTTTTTCCCCAAATGTCATTCTATTAATAAGTGGATAAAATAAGTAAAGCTGTGGTTCCTACAATCCTTACCTTTATCAAGGGTTTTGCTTTCAGTGCAGGCGAGGAGGACAGCTTCCACCACAACAGGAAAAAACAGGAGGCTTCTGCTGGTTTCGTGCACTGGAGTATCCACATCACAGTCCCCTCATTGCCTCCTGGTGGATTTTCCACTGAACTGGTGCCAGACCAGAGCATACAGATAGCCATCCTTTGTATAGAGTCCTGTTTATAAAAAAAAAAAAAAAAAACAACTTAGATACCTTCAGAAAATCTGCAGACTTTAAGTGGTATGCCTTGGTATAAAATGTCACGTGCTCTACAAGGTCCACCAAGTCACCCTTTAGCTTAAGATGCTCAAACTTACATCACCAGTACAAATAATTCATTGTTTTTCTCCCCTTTCTTTGAATCCCTAACTCCTTTGGAGGTAAAGGGGCCAGTTGCTCTCCAGCAGACTTGTCCATGATGGCCATTGTGTTTTCCAGGTGTCGTGTTCCACTACAGAGCAATATCCACAAGGTACACCTTGAACTTCGAGAAGGCAAAGCAGGCCTGTATCCAGAACAGTGCTGTCATTGCCACCCCTGAGCAGCTGCAGGCTGCCTATGAGGATGGGTACGAGCAGTGCGATGCCGGCTGGCTGGCTGACCAGACTGTCAGGTAAGGGGAGATAAAAGCCACTTTAGGGAAGGTCTATTGTAACAAAGCTACTGATGGAGTATGGTTGAGAAGCAGTTGGGAAATGCCAAGAAAATCCACAAGTGTGGCTCAACCATGCTGAGTCCTGTGTCCCCATTAGTGGGCACCTTGGTCTCTGATGTCTTTGGCTGGTTCTCAGGACTGTTACAGGGAAAGCAGGATGCCAGCTCCTCCAGCCCTGTGCTGCTGCCCCATCCTGCTTCTATGCACCTTGTTCCCCAGGTACCCCATCCATCTGCCCCGGGAGCGCTGCTACGGTGACAAGGATGAGTTTCCAGGAGTGAGGACCTACGGTGTCCGTGAGACAGATGAAACCTATGATGTTTACTGCTATGCAGAGCAAATGCAAGGTGACTGGGGGGTTCTTGCTAGATGCAGAAGCAGCCAGTGCTTTGCTTGTGCCTAGTCCAGACAACAGGGCACTAATGACCTAGAAGATGACAATTCAAAAGTGGAAATCACATCCCCCAGCAAGGCCAAATGTTCTCTACATTCTATTTGTAACACCTTGGATAATTTTAGTGTTAAATGATTAATGCAGCATAAAGGGTGCAGTTGGTCTAGCCTCCAACAGAGCCATGCTGTCCCACATTGTCTCTGACCATCCATTCCAGGATGTGATTTCCAGAAGTGCCCATCACACAAACAACAGGGATCCACCGAATTATTCAGCATATCAGAATTGAAATTGGCCTTTATCTTCCACTTGCCCTTTGACTCCAGATAGTTAAGTAAGTCTTCCTCCAACTAATTTACTCCCTAAGACCCCCTTTATTCTGGTCTTTAGAGATAATCACCAACATGAGGCTGCAGTTAAGCTGTAGGACACAGGACTTTCATTGTATCCAGACTCAGGAGTGGGAAGAAGATAGAATGGGAATTGGGATTGGGAATTGGGATTAAACTCAACAGCTAACCCCTGTGCTAATGGATCGTGTGATTGCAGGCAAAGTCTTCTACGCCACCTCCCCCGAGAAGTTCACCTTCCAGGAAGCTTTTGACAAATGCCACAGCTTGGGAGCCCGCCTGGCCACCACGGGCGAGCTGTACTTGGCCTGGAAGGATGGCATGGACATGTGCAGTGCAGGCTGGCTGGCTGACCGCAGCGTTCGCTACCCCATTTCCAGAGCACGGCCCAATTGTGGAGGGAACCTGGTGGGTGTGCGGACCGTTTACCTGAACCCTGCCAACCAGACAGGGTACCCTCACCCCAGCTCCCGCTACGATGCCATCTGCTACAGTGGTGAGTGCTCTAAGTGATGTCTCTTTACCTACGTAAGCGAGAAGGAGCTCCTTGTCTGCAGCTAACTTAACCTGAATGTATCCCCGGTGCATTTTCATCACAGTCTTCACCAATATTTGTCTGCTGTTTTGAATGGGACTACTCCAGTTTTTCTTTCAAAACCATTCACTAATGCAGTCTAGGAGCATGAATTAAATTAATTATAGTAATTCACACAGGCAGATGGGGAAGGAAAGTATTCCACTGCTGGTCATTTTTCATCTCAGGCAATCCCAGGTAGTGGTGTAGTGGTTCAGTGTTTCTGGTCACTGCAGAGCAGCACAGAAGGCACACCAATAAAAAAGACAGATTGCAGCTCACTGTTTCACCTGCCCTCATTAGCCAGTGCCTCCCAACACTTGCATTGCTATTCTCTCTGTATGATACTTACCTTTACGATAGACCCTCTCTGAACTAAGGCAGAGAAGCTTCTTGCTTCTTTGATTTTTTGTTTATTTCTTTATTTATTTTCGCAAAGGTAGCTGATCTTAGCCTCTCTTCATGTATTCATGTTCAGGTAGGAAATAAAGAGTCCCAGAAGTGCATGGATGTCTGTCCAAGTAGCAGTTCAGGAGATGTGGAACAGACCTCAGGTGCTCCATGCAGAGGACTTTGAGTGCTGGAGATGGAAGCAAAGGAAAAAGAGAACAGACCTGATCCTGTGTAGCACTGTGATGCAGTGCAGACACACATCTGAGTGTTCATGCTGGGATAAATCAGAGTGCAGCAGCTTCTGGCAAAATCGTGCCTGGGAAGTGCAGAGCGTCCTTGCTACGCCCTCTTTCTCCTGCCTCCTCTCTTCTCCCTGCAGCAAGGAGAGGACAAAGCACAGCTGCACACAATCAGCTTAGGGCAGCCAGAGGGGACAGCATTCACATAGAAGTCCATCTTTACAAAAATAGCATGTTCTGAAAACCCTTTTATTCAAACCAATTGTGTCCAGATATATGCGTGATCTGTGCATCAGGAGGCCCAAGCATCTGTCCCTGTAAAAGCTCTCAGGCTTCTTGGTATCTGTTTATGCGACCTGTGTTCCTACAACACAGCCTTCTGGTTATCTCAGGGCATTCATTCAAAATTGCTGAATACAGTCAGTCCTTGCTTGAGCATCTCTGGCTAATTTATTGAATCCTTTAAGATCTGAGAGGTACTGGCTTAAATGAAATAGCAGGAAAATGGAATTGGAAATAAATAGAGTGGGGACAGCAATATTATGGGCAAAGCTTGATGGTATCTTGTTAGTTTTCCTTCCCCAGCTGAGACCTGCCTCGCTGCATTGCCATCTCTCCCTGACCTGCTCGGTTCAGTGCTGCTCTTTAAGTCCCCATCTGCAGGCTGACCTGCTCAGTGGGATGTCAACAAGCATATTGTCCTAAGGGACGTGACTCATGCAGACAAGTGATTTGGGAGGGGGAAGGTGGGAGTAAAGCACTTGTTTAAGTTTGCTACATTGAGTGACCTCAGCTGTCTCGGTGATGGAGGTAGCGTGCTTTTATGTGATGAGTTCCTAGGTCCCCAGCTGAGCAGAGCAGGAGGGTAGTGCTCCAGGTGTGACTTCATGCAGTTAGTTTAAGGATCTCCGTGCCTTCCTCAGGCTCACAGTTTCTGTAGAGGTTTTCCTTGCTCCCATGCCACCTTGAGTTCTTTGCAGCAGGCACTAGAGGTCAGTGCAGACTCGGATTTGTGCAGGGCGCTGCCGGGAACGGGAGCTGGGAGAACAGGGAGAACTGTCTGCTTTTCCAGCTGGGGAGCCTGGCGTGAGTCATTGCCTCCAACTCATGGATATCCAAGACCAGGCTGGTTGGGGCTTTGCACATTCATCTAGTGGAAGATGCCCACGGCAGAGGGTCGGAACTAAATGGTATTTTAAGGTCCCTTCCAACCCGAACCATGCCGTGATTCTGCGATTCCATGCCCTTTTGCCATTGGAGCCAGCAAACTCTCATCTCCCCCTCCACAACAGCACCTTGCTGGACTGACCATGTCCTGCAATCCTTGCTTTGTCTCTCATTGTAGGTGATGACTTCGAGGCTCTGATCCCAGGACAGTTCACCGATGAGGTTGGGACCGAGCTGGGCAGTGCTTTCACCATACAGACCGTCACACAGACTGAGGTGGAGCTGCCCCTGCCACGCAATGCCACAGAGGAGGAGGCCCGTGGCAGCATCGCCACCCTGGAGCCCATGGAGATCACAGCCACCGCCACTGAGCTGTACGAAGCCTTCACCGTCCTGCCCGACCTCTTCACCACCAGTGTCACAGTAGAGACAGCTTCCGCAGGGGAAGAGAATGTGACCAGAGAGGAGGTCACAGGGGTATGGGCTGTGCCTGAAGAGGTCACTACGTCAGTCTCAGACACTGCTTTCACCACCGGAATGGCAGAGGTGAGCTCGGTGGAAGTGGCCATAGGAGTGACTGCCACGCCAGAACTGGAGTCTGCCTCACCATTCACTGTAGAAGATCATCTTGTGCAAGTGACAGCAGCCCCTGATGTTGCCCTCCTCCCCAGGCAGCCCATTTCCCCCACTGGTAAGTCACCTGCACTCCAAGAAGCCTGAAGATGGTCTGAAAATAGTCTGATCTTCTGCCAGTACAAAGGACGTCCAGATCTCTAGAGGTGTACAGGCCTGTTTGGATGCTTGGAGTTGCAGGCTGAATGTTTCCACCATGGGTGGGATGGAGGGGCCTTGGAGGGGGGCTGTGGGTTCTTCATTATAAGCAGGATGGGGATCAAATATCTGATGCCTGGGGCTGCAGCGATGGTACTTTGCATTCCTTTGTGCACCTGGGGAAGGGAAAGTCAAGGGAACTAGATCCCACAGGAAGGCTATAGAGATGCCCAGAACATCACCCTGTAATGCAGCAGAATTCAATGAACGAGGGATCTCCATCCAAATGAGTTTGCAGGAGTGATCCTTGCATTGCTGTTGGGAAGATCCTATCTGGTGACACATCTCAGTCTGGGGGTTCCTAATGCCCTGTTTCACCATGGTTCCTCTTTCCTCAGGTGTGGTGTTTCACTACCGTGCTGCCACCAGCAGATATGCCCTCTCCTTCGTCCAAGCCCAACAGGCCTGCCTGGAGAATAATGCCGTTATTGCCACTCCTGAGCAGCTCCAGGCTGCCTACGAGGCTGGCTTTGATCAGTGTGATGCTGGCTGGCTGCGGGATCAGACAGTCAGGTAAAGCCATCTCAATGAAGGGAATACATCTCTGTGAAATGATTATTCAGCCATGAATGATGGATGCCCCATCCTTGGAGACATCCAAGGTCAGGCTGGATGGTGCTCTGAGCACCTGACCAGCTGTAGGTGTTCTTGTTCAGTGCAGGGGAGTTGGACTAAATGACCTCTAAGGGTCCCTTTCAGTTCAAACCATTCTATGAACTTGAGGTTTCCCTCTGGTCTGCACTGCTGCTCTATTTATCTGCAGCTAAAGCTGTCCCAGCCTAAAGTTGTCTCATCATATGGTAGCCAATAGACACGTTCTTCTCAGTCTGTTCCTAATCTGTGTGATTAGTGATGAATTTCACAGTGAGCTGACATGTATGAAAAAATGGAGGAAAGTTTGTACTCACTGCCCCAAGCTGTAAGTGCAGGTTAAATATGTTTCGAAGTCATGCTGGGGTTACCGAGCACCTCTAAATGTGAAGATATGATGTCCTGTTCCCAAGTACGCTGAGATCCTTCAGCCCAGAGTACATAAAGCTGACTGTGGGTCACCTCCTCTCTTCTTTTGTCAGGTATCCCATTGTGAATCCCCGCAGCAACTGTGTAGGAGACAAAGAGAGCTCCCCAGGTGTGCGGTCATATGGCATGCGCCCAGCCTCAGAGACCTACGATGTGTACTGTTACATCGACAGGCTGAGGGGTACGTTCTCCCCATTCCTCCATGTGTGGGTAACAGCAGTGCTGGGCAGGCACACCACAGGATGCCAGCGGTGGTGAGGTTCAGACTCATGCTTGTCTTCTCTATCGGCCCACAGGTGAGGTGTTTTTTGCGACCCAGCCAGAGCAGTTCACCTTCCAAGAAGCCCAGCTGTACTGTGCAAGCCAAAATGCCACACTGGCCTCTGCTGGGCAACTCCACGCTGCCTGGAAGCAGGGCCTGGATAGGTGTTACCCTGGGTGGCTGGCTGACGGCAGCCTGCGGTACCCCATCGTGAGCCCCCGTCCTGGCTGTGGGGGAGATGCACCTGGTGTGAGGACCATCTACCAGCATTACAACCAGACAGGCTTTCCTGACCCTCTGTCACGGCATCACGCTTTCTGCTTCAGAGGTACTGTCCCACCTCTCCTAAGTCCTTCCTCCTTGGGGAACGGGGTTTTGCAATGGGAGCATGGGTGCATCAGGGTCTACTTAGGGCTAAGTGGGAGCATGGGTGCATCAGGGTCCTACTTAGGGCTAAGTGGGATTCACCAAAGCCTTGCTTCTTCTTGGACCTCAGAAGCACATCTTCATAACAGTGTATTTACTTTATTAACTTGGTCATAGTACGGCTTGGGTTGGAAGGGACCTCAGCAATCATCCACTTCCAACTGCCCTGCCACAGGCCGGACTGCTACCCCCTAACTCAAGCACTAGATCAGGTTGCCTGGGGTCCCATCCAACCTGGCCTTCATAATGCCTCAGAGGGAAAATCTCACCCAGCTCCCTCTGTCTCCACTTCTCTGCTCAGCTTGTCTCCCAGTATCAGGAGCTCAGCATACTTTTTCACCATGGCTTATTATTTTGGTATCTGGATCACTTATGGAGCTGCTTCATCTGAGACTATGAACTCTTGGATACTCCATCCTGTGTTTTTCTATTCCAGCTCTGCCATCCGTGGAGGAGGAGGGGGTGACCTCACACTTTGAAGAAGAGGTGATGGTAACCCAAGTGATCCCTGGAGTGGAGGGAATACCTTCTGGGGAGGAAACAACTGTGGAGACAGAGCTATCCGCTGAGCCTGAGAATCAGACGGCCTGGGGAACAGAAGTCTTCCCAACCGACGTATCACTGCTCTCAGGTGGGTCAGGCACCATCTCTTGAGTCGTGATTGGTATTGTTGAACCAAAGCACTTCTAAAATAAACTGACTATGTCCTTGCTGAAGGAAGGGCCTTTCAAATGCAGCTGAGGAGGAGGGTGGAATCTCAGAGGGCTCTCTTCATTGGAGTTAGCTTTTCTTGTAACAGCTTCAGGTGCATTTCAGAGGAGAGTGCTGGCAAGTGTGGAGGCACTCGAGACACACAGTGCTCCTTAGGGACACGTCATCCTTCACAGGCTACCTTAAAGTGGAGGCAATGGGATGGGAAGGGCATGCTGAGTCTCAAAGAAAGTGTGGGACCAAGGAGCTTTAGTTATTTAAACTGAAGGAAGGACTTCTTGCTCCGCTGGTTTTGCGTATTATTGTGGAACAGGCTGTGAACTGATATGCAGTCCCACTCAGAGAACTTTTCTTTTGTGTTTGTTTTGTGTTTTTCACCTTATTAGCAAATTAGTTGTGCACACAGTGCACACAGGAGGAGCTACACAGGTATATAGAATTTTTTGCTGTGTTACTAGCTGTGCTACCAGAATGGCATTGGTATGTCAATGTTGCAAACCAGCATTTACATTGCCAGGGCATCTCACAAAATATGTTGCTGTGTGTCCAGGAGGCAGCCTAGAAACTGACCCCATGCCCAGAGGACAGAGCCAAGATGTGCTCAGGGCAGCACCAAACTTCTCTTCCACATGCCATGTCCAAGGAAACTGTAGCTTTATTTTGGCTTCTGGGAATTAGCGTCACTGCTGCCATTGTCCCATGCCAAAAGTTGATGTATTCTGTCAGTTTCCCAGCAATTTGTATGTAACACTTATTTAAGACATTATCCTCATTAACAAATTTGAGGGCATCAAAGGATTTCTGCCAGAGCCCTTTATCCCAAATGTGATGTTATTAGATGTCAGTTTGGAGGTAAACTAGGAAGTTGTTAATATTAACTAGTTGTCCTATTTCCTTCTCTTTGTTCCCTCCTTTTCCAGCGAGCCCATCTACTTTTCCTCCAGCTACTGCAATACCAGAGGAAACAAGTACCAGTGCTTCCATCCCCGAAGTGTCCATAGAGTTCCCTGAGTCTGGGGAGCACCCAGCCAGCGGCGAACCTTCAGCATCTGGAGCCCCAGACACGAGTGGAGAACCAATTTCTGGAGGTTTTGAACTGAGTGGAGAGCACTCCGGGATTGGAGAAAGTGGATTACCATCTGTAGACCTGCAGAGCAGTGGCTTTGTACCTGGAGAAAGTGGCCTTCCTTCAGAGCACGTGAGCGGGTTGCCTTCTGGCACTGTTGATACCAGCGGCTTACCTTCTGCAGAGGAAGAGGTATCGGTGTCTGTTTCGAGGATACCAGAAATTAGCGGGATGCCATCTGGAGCTGAAAGCAGTGGTCTGCATTCTGGATTTAGTGGAGAAATTTCTGGCACTGAGCTCATCAGCGGCCTGCCATCTGGAGAGGAAAGTGGACTCGCTTCTGGTTTTCCCACCGTCTCCCTCGTGGATTCCACTTTGGTGGAAGTTGTAACAGCAGCACCGGGACGGCAAGAGGAGGGAAAAGGATCAATTGGAGTCAGTGGTGAAGGAGAGCTGTCGGGGTTTCCATCTGTAGAGTGGGACAGCAGTGGGGCCAGAGGGCTGCCCTCAGGTGCTGAAGCCAGCGGGGAGCATTCTGGGGTGCCTGAAATCAGTGGGGAGCATTCTGGGCTACCTGGGCTCAGTGGAGAGCCTTTTGAGGTGCCCGAGCTCAGTGGGGAGCATTCTGGGCTGCCTGAGCTCAGTGGGGAACATTCTGGGCTGCCTGAGCTCAGTGGGGAGCCTTTTGGGGTGCCTGAGCTCAGTGGGTTTCCCTCAGGACTGGACATCAGTGGGGAGCCATCTGGAATACCTGAGGTGAGCGGCCTGGTGGACATGAGTGGCCTTACCTCTGGTGTTGATGGAAGTGGTGAGATCTCAGGCGTTACCTTTATAAGCACCAGCCTGCAAGAAGTGACAACCCCATCAACTGCAGAAGCAGAAGCAAAAGAGATTTTGGAGATCAGTGGACTGCCTTCAGGAGAGACATCAGGCATGGTGTCTGGGAGCTTAGAGGTCAGCGGTCAGCCTTCGGGACACATAGACTTCGGAGGGAGCGCTTCTGGAGTGCTTGAGATGAGTGGATTTCCAAGCGGAGCAGTTGAGAGCAGTGGAGAAACCTCTGGGGTTGAAGTCACCAGTGGCCTCACATCTGGAGAGGAAAGTGGGCTCACCTCAGGCTTTCCCACCGTGTCTCTCGTGGATACCACGTTGGTAGAAGTTGTAACACAGACATCAGTTGCGCAAGAGGTGGGAGAAGGACCTTCTGGGATGATAGAAATCAGTGGATTTCTTTCTGGAGACAGAGGACTATCTGGAGAAGGGTCTGGAGCTGAGCAGTCTAGTGGGCTTCCTTCAGGAACAGGAGACTTCAGCGGAGAGCCATCCGGGATCCCATATTTCAGTGGAGACATTTCTGGAGCCACAGATCTAAGCGGACAACCTTCAGCAGTGACTGATATTAGTGGGGAGGACTCGGGACTTCCAGAAGTCACTTTAGTCACATCCGATTTAGTAGAAGTTGTGACAAGGCCAACGGTTTCACAGGAGCTGGGTGGGGAAACAGCTGTCACATTTCCCTATATCTTTGGGCCAAGTGGTGAGGGCTCTGCGTCTGGAGACCTGAGTGGGGGAACATCTGCAGAAGGTGGCATAGAAACATCAACAGCTTATGAAATCAGTGGTGAGACATCTGCCTTCCCTGAAACGAGTGTAGAAACATCCACAGGTCAAGAAATCAGTGGGGAAGCATCTGCATACCCTGAGATTAGTGTAGAAACATCCACAAATCTAGAAACCAGTGGGGAAACATCTGCATACCCTGAGATTAGCACAGAGACATCCACAGCTCAGGAAGTTAGTGGGGAAACGTCTGCCTTTCCTGAAATTAGCACAGAAACATCCACAATACAGGAGACCAGTGGGGAAACATCCGCATTTCCTGAAATTAGAATAGAAACATCCACCTTTCAAGAAATTAGTGGGGAAACGTCTGCATTTCCTGAAATTAGAATAGAAACATCCACCAGTCAAGAGGCCAGGGGTGAAACGTCTGCATTTCCTGAGATTACCATAGAAGCCTCCACAGTCCATGAAACCAGTGGAGAAACGTCTGCCTTTCCCGAAATTAGCATAGAAACATCCACAGTCCATGAAATTAGTGGGGAAAGTTCTGCGTTTCCTGAAATTAGAATAGAAACATCCACAAGTCAAGAAGCCCGGGGTGAAACATCTGCGTTTCCTGAGATTACCATAGAAGCCTCCACAATTCAAGAGATCAGTGGAGATACATCTGCATTTCCTGAAATTAGCATAGAAACTTCAACTGTCCGTGAAATCAGCGGTGAAACGTCTGCCTTTCCTGAAATTAGAATAGAAACATCCACGAGTCAAGAAGCCCGGGGTGAAACATCTGCATTTCCTGAGATTACCATAGAGACATCCACTGTCCATGAAACCAGTGGGGAAACATCTGCATTTCCTGAAATTAGCATAGAAACTTCCACAAGACAAGAAGCCAGGGGTGAAGAATCTGCCTATCCTGAGGTTAGCATAGAGGCATCCACAACTCAAGAAGTAAGTGGGGAAAGTTCTGCCTTCCCTGAAATTAGTGTAGAAACATCCACAAGTCAGGAAGCCCGTGGTGAAACATCTGTGTTTCCTGAGATTGGCATTGAGACATCCACAGCCCACGAAAGCAGTGGGGAAACTCCTGGGCTGCCTGCTGTTAGCACTGACACCGCTGCCACGTCTCTGGCCGGTGGTGAGCCCTCCAGTGCTCCTGAGAAGGAAATTCCTGACACAACATCACACTTGATCACAGGCGTTTCAGGGGAAACCTCTGTCCCAGACATTGTAATCAGTACCAGCGCTCCAGATGTTGAACTAACACAGGGACCCAGAAACACTGAAGAGACTCAGCTTGAAATAGAGCCCTCCACTCCCGCGGCGTCAGGACAAGAGACAGAAACAGCTGCTGTCCTCGATAATCTCCATCTGCCAGCCACTGCTACTGCTGCCCTGCATCCAGCCTCCCAAGAAGCAATAGATGCCCTGGGACCCACGACAGAAGGTACCGTGCCTTCTCCCAACCCTAACGTACCAAGGAAGGGAAAGGAGGGAGGGGGCACATCTCCTCCTGCCTGCCCATTGCAGAGCTGAGGGCCAGCCCAGGGGAAGCACCAGGAGGTGCACGGGGGCCTTCCCCTGCTGCAGTATGGCAGCAGGCATTGACTGCTCCTTCCAGCTGCTGCTCCTGGTGGAGCTGGCACCTGCTAGGAGCATGACTGGGCTTCACCTACCTGTGCCCCTGGGTTATATGGGTGATGGTTGGGATGTAGGTGACCTCTCCTCTCTGTGCTGCTGGAACAGGGGCTGGAAACAGTTCACTCTGTGAATGGCCAGTGAGAGCCACTGGGTGTGATACATCAGTGGAAGGCACCAGGGCATTCACACCCCGTCTGAAATTGCTCTTAGCCATTGCTCTCATCTCAAGAAAACAACATTTTTTTTCTCATCACGTGAAAAGCAGAGCAAAGACTGCTCCACCCGCCTGAGACTTCCACCCTGGCTGGGAGATGTGGCTGGGAAGTTGGATCAGGCAGGCTGCAAGCCTCTGCCCTGCTTTGTTTCTCTCTCCATGATGTGCTGACTCGCTGCCCTGGGTGTTTCCAAGCTCTTGCTCCACAGCAGCCATGCATCAGCTGCTTTGCTGTGCCGAGGGGCTGAGAGGCACAAGCCAGCTTAGGAACAAAGATCTCTGCTCTCAGCCTTGTCACTGCTGAGTGCAGTATTTGCACTGAGCACACTGCTCTCTGTAGCACAAACAGGCAGAATGTGTGAGAAGGTGCTCACAGCTTTTGGCAGCTGCGCTGATACATGTGCTCCCCTCACCCTGCCCCTTTTTGGTGCTTTAGCAGGACTGCCAAGTATAAACAGATACAATATTTAAATCTGAGTAACCTTGTATGGTGAAAATGGTTCACCAGCTTTCTGACAGCACTCCACCAAGTTTTGCTTACATGCCATGCAGGTACTAGGATGCTACAATGAGAAGACAAGCAGGGGCATTTTCATGCTTGCCAGCCACTTCTTGGCCAGGAAGGAGCCCTGTAACGTCCCACAGCATCCCTGGCAATGGCTTGGTTTCACATTGCTGCAGCCAGGAGCAGGCTCTGGGGCATAGGCCCCACTGCAAAAATCATTCATCTTGTCACATAAACACACTGGTGCTTTTAGATTTCTCGTGGTTGTGTTCACATTGGCCGTGTTGCAGAAATAGAGCAAAAAATGCATTTGCAAAGAGATCTGCTTCTAGCAAAAGCAGTATTCACTCCACTCCCTTCCCATGCTGCCTCCTGGACTGCTGCTTCCTGGTGAACCCACGGCACTAAGCACAGACAGATCTGGATTTGGTATGGGTCTGTAATGCAGGGCTCTGTGTGCTCAACCTGGTTTCAAGCTTCGTTCCTGTCCTCAAAACGCTTTGGACAAGTCACTGCATTTCACTCTGCATCATTTCCATCTTGGAAAACAGGTGATCACAGCTCAGCCCTGCTCCCCACACATCCCATCTGTCTTTGTAGAAAGCCCCCAAAACCCTCCTTGCACCCCTCATGGGCTCTGCCCTTGGGCCATGCTTGCTGCCACGTCCTAGCCTGGAGATGAAAACAAGTCAGAAGGACAAGGGAAAGGAAGGGAACCAGCCAACAAGGCTCAGCAAAAAGAGAAAAAATTGGCCCCAAAGTGTTGTTTTATTTCACTGCTTATTCTTTTTATAAATTACCCACAAGGCTACTGCCAGATTCTTCAGAGCACTGTTAGCCAACATTCTTGTGAAGCATTTTGAAAGAAAACCATGTGTTAGGCAGCTCATGTGTGAAGAAGTTTGAAAAACGTTCCAAAATTGGAATATGTTGTGTATTTGTGAGTCAACGGGAATGGCAATATAGCAGCTGGGGTTTCTTAACAGGTGACAGAGGTAAGTGATAACTGCACGAAGCTTAACTGTGGATTCCTTGTACACTAGAGATGGGCTTCAGAACACGTGCGTGGTTTTTGCTTCTCTAGAAGATAATCCAGTGTATAAGAATTTTTTGTTGTTGTTGATAAGCTTCTTTGCTGTAGTATTTCTTCAAGGTGAAATGCAGTCCAGGTCAGGGTCTGAACAAGGCTCATCCAGGCAGCAAGAAAGTGTTGCTGACTGTGTATGTGCAGCACCTCTGCAAGGGATGAGATTCCTCTAGAAAAATAGGGCGCAGTGCTGATGAAGAAGAATAAAGAAGGAAAAATATTCTCAGGTATCCTCTTCTGAAATCATCACTCTTCAGAATGACTGTGAATGCAAAAAGCCTACAAGGAAGAACTATGGATTGGAACCATGTTTTGGAGCCTCGTGCTGTGCTCAGAGTTGTAGGGTGCTGTGGATGCTCATTAGGTACAGTGCGTTTCGACTACCATTGAGGCATGACCAAAGCTGGTTCAGTTCACAGAAGGAGCTCAGAGCTCAGGGCAGGGCATGAAGCTGCTGGGCTCCTGTCCTGCCATTTAAGCATTCCAATTAGATTCAGCAGTCTTTTTAGTGGGATGACTTCAGAAGAATTACATTTTTTTCTGTAGGCTCTACTTCTCTCTCAAAGACAAAGCCACAAGGACAAGAAGACTCGAGGTTAACACTTGGAATGCCAATATTTTTTAGTTTTTAACAAAATTGAAGGCTTTGCCTGCACGTGTCTTTGTCAGCAGTTGGATTCTTCCTTGACATCAGGAAGCCTATAAGCCTACAGCATGAAGAAATGGCCATAGACTTGGCTTCTCCATCCAGAGCTTTGCCAGCTCAGTGGGTATTTTTGCTTCGGGTAACATTTGAAGACAAATAATTATTAACTGAGAAGAGCACGCTGGCGCTTCAGTGAAAAGCTGTGGTTTGGAGCACTCTGACCAGCCAATGTTTTAAAAACTTCACTCAAGTCAAGGGAAAAATAGAAATGTGCTGAAATGGCAGCAATTTGTGTTAAGTTTTGCTTGCCTCTGGTGAAAAGAACTCATGGAGTCTTCCATCAACGGCCCCAAAGCAGCTGAAGGTTAGAATCCAAGTGAGAAAAGGTATTGATGGTGTTTCCTCCTTCACACCACAGAAATCCAAGGGATAGCCTTTTTTTTTTTTTTTTTTTTTCTCCTTTGAAAAGATCATTCCAGAAGCAGCTTTGGTTTAATTAATATAATTCATTATTTTAGTAACTTAATTGCTCATCGTAAGTCACTAGCTGGCTACATGATTTTTGATGCTGGTAGATGAAGGAATTGCTCTCCTCAGCTCCTCCTCTTCTCTCCTTGTAGGAGTCAATCAGTCAGATGTTTTTCTTCTCTATTTGAGTGATCAATTCAAACTTCCCTGGAGACTCGGAAAGGCAAATTTAACTTGTACCTGGAATTTTACCTCAGTCTCTAGAAGATAATGATGCAGCTGGTCTCTGAATCCCTGTTTGGATAATCACACTTACAGGAGAGTCTATAAAGAAAGGGTGAGGAGCACATCAGGGACTGTTGGACATCCGGAAAATGCCTCATGTTTCAGCCTTACATTTTCTTCTATGCAGAACAAAAGCAAGAGTACTAATCATAGGTTATTTTTCTGAACTAGTTCCTCACAACATGAGTAAGACTAGAATTTGTTCAGGGCATGGGTGGTAGCACCCAGCCTGCCTGCAGCCTGCTTCTCCTCCATAAGTGTTCTAAGCACAAAGCTAACTTCATTTCATGAGTACTTTTGCTGTCGCGGATGCAGGCTGTCACTGAGAGAAATGCACAGATTGTATTGTTTTAAGGAACATTAGCACAGTTTCTACTTATTGTCTGCTTAGCTTGGGATGAAGGATTTTGAAAGTCTCCCCTTCTCTCTCAGTGTGCTCACTTCTGCATGTCGTTTGCCTTCTGAGCAAAACCAGGACTGATCTATTTCTCTTTCATTTCTAAAGGATTTCTCTTTCCAATTTCCATGATCTAGTACAGCACATTGTCTTCAAAGGCACTGGGAGAATACTTGTGCTGTGTTTAGCTGCATCAAAAGAAAATAGTACTGACTAAATATAGTAAGTATCTGGCAGTGTAAGAGAAAGCTGAGGAAGTAAATGGTGTGAGGCAAATTCAAAGATTGCACTGTAACTCTGTAACTCCCCTTGCTTTTGCCAGCCAACAGTTTACAAATTCCAGATGCAAGACCCTATTTACATTAGAGGTTTTTTTTGTTTTAATTTTTGGTTTCATTAATAAGAAATAATCCAAAAGTTATCCCTTAGGTCCTGTTAGTAGTATAAAATAGGACCTATTGTCACAATAGATTTGAATAATCCTTTGTAACTTCTGGGTGATATTAAGTACGGTGCAAAGCATCTCCCAAAGAGCTCTTGATTTTGCATTATCCTTGCCAAGTGAGTTAATAGTAAGTTCTAAGTGGGCTTCCTATTCTCGGCACTGCAAAGCCTTTTCTTCCCTGTCTCTGTTTCAGAGCTGAACCTCTTGAAAGCCAGGGCTGCCTCTGTTCTGCATCCCATGCCACATCAGTTGTTCTTTGTTAGCACTGGGTAATAATAGCAGTAGTCTCTTCTCCTTGTTAGCTGATAAGCTCTTGAGCTGCACCTTAAAGCAGAGCTGACTTTTGAATGGCTGCTCACCCAAGCAAACAAATAGCTCACTTACATGTAAGAATGTCAAACTCCCCCCTGCTGCAGGCTTTCCTGCTGCTGGGGATGGGCACAGTGATTTACTGACCTCACCCAGCCATAAGCCCTGTGGAAGGGGATACACTTATGGTATGTAAAAGGTTAGGAAGGAAGAACCAAGCATCGAGTGATAGATGGAATTTTTTTACTGGAGTTCTCACCTCCCATAAATCCAATGGCTTTGATGTGATATCCTACAAATACCCACAGACCAGCTTGCCAGTTTTCAGAGGCAACATGGCTGCCAATTTAAAGCTTACATTTCTAAAAGACCAGATTTTCTAGGGGGACCAAAATCAGCAACTTTTCCTCCAGGCTGGCCAACGTTTGAGTTTCCTGATATCAGCCTGGTGACTTGATCAAGCTGTAAGTGTCCCTGTTCATTGCAGGGAGCTGGACCAGATGACCTTCCAACTCAAACAATTCTGTGATTGAGCATCCAGATGGAGATTCAGTCGCTGTCCCAACAGCACTTGGGCTGAAGGGGGAGTTTGTTATTTATGACCATCATGTGCTTAGAATGTCTTCTTTCCAGCCATTTGCACCATGCTTATGGAAAAAAATGCTGTCTCATTTGTATTTATTGTCTGTTTTCCTAACACTACTGATGAGTAGACACTTTTTGTGTGATATATACAAGTGTATGTGTGTATGTATATAACACACATATTGTACACAGAGCTTTGTTTTTACAGCATATATAATATGAGCAGTCATATTATATACATTATATGTAAAAGGAAATTCTTTTCCAGTGTTATTTCCCATCTGGAGTCTTGTGGCAATGAATTTGCATGCATCTGCTCCTTCTTCCTTCAGCACCAGGGATGGCAGCTCCCAGCGAGTCCCACGCATCTCAGAAGAGACCTTGGATGTACCAAAACTCTATTCCACATTGCTGAAGATGGCCAAAGACTTATTCTGCCCCACTAAATGTTCTGCTTTGTACGTGCTTTATTCCCACCTCTACAGTGTGCTTTCCTCATGATGGAGCCTGATGGACAAAGAAGAGCCTTTTCTTCCTTGTTCAGCTGGAGCCTGCTGGGATCAATGAAACATCTGCTGCCACTGCTGTTGGGAAGACCAGGGATCCTCTAGAGCTGTCATCATCCCTGAGGATATTTCATTTTCCTCTATGTTTTCTGTCTCCTAAGAACTCCAGGTTTCACTACAGACAAGAGCCAACCAACTGCAGCTCCTCTCTCTTACCAGGCCCACAACCCCTCATACGTTCTGGAAAGTCTTAATGTATTTCATAACGTCGTGGAAACGAGATCCCAGATTTTCTTTGCACTGTATTGAATATAGAAATCCAGAAATCTTTCATGAGTATTTAGAAGAGCAATCCAGAGGAAGAAATTCCTTCTCTCAGTGAAGGGCTAACTGCAAAACTGGCATTAAGTGGTTCATCAACCATCTGAGGAACAAATATGTTGCTTATATTGATATGATCTGGAATAAAGAAGACAATTCTCATGCTCCAAAGCACAAACCAATTTGCCATCCAAGGTCAGGAAGAGTTTTTTGCATCATTCAGGCACAGTACAGAGCATGTCATCTTTTAGTTGACATATCAGATATTGGCTGCTGGGCAACTAGATATTCACATCACTACTCTGCTCTGGTATTCCCATTGCCAGCATGTTCATCATCTTTGAATGTTTCCTCACTAACCCCTCTCATCCACAAGGAGAGCATGGAGTATGTTAGTCAGCACTTTCACAGCGTTATATTTCTTCTGAGTGTAAAAGAATGAAATGCTGTCTTGCATGAAGATCTAATCAATCTTTTAACATAATCTGCATGGGTGTCCACCCACTTTTTTTATTAGTCTTGTTTCTTGAGTTGAACATCTCTGAGATCTTTTCATTCTGAATGGTTTTCCTTCTGATTCTTAAGTTCAGTAAGTAGGATTAAGGCTCAATCTGGAGATATACTAGAAGACCTTTAATTCCAGCACAAACTAGATTTTCTACTATATAGATCAAGCTGTCTACCTGTGACATGCTTCCATGCTTCCTTCGTTCTTCAACAAGATGACAGAGGATGGAAATGCTACCAGATGACAGCATTTAGTATCCAGGCTTGTGCTAATTAGCAAGTTGAGAAACACTGAAGTGTTGGAAGTCCAATTCCTCCCATACCAACTTCTCTTTTCACCTCTGAGAAAGCAGAAAGCATCTTAAGGGATGCACTAGCTGGGAAAGTAGGAATAGTTTCCACCACCATGAGGGAATCAGCAGCTGAAAAAGATGCACAGCTTCTTCCAGTCCCATCACAAGCAAAAAAACAAGTAGTGTGGAAAGGTCCACTGCACTCCGGAGTTCTTCACCAAGGAAGAGGCTACCATAGTCTTTGCTATGATCCTGAAAAGGAAAAGGCTGAACCACCTTCGAACCCACTTCTTTCCTGCACTTAGCTTCACTGAGATGAGATTTCTTACCCCAGGACTTCATCTGAATTAAAATTAAGAAAAAACTATCTCCAGCAGTGCTAGTTGTGTGTCAGGGATCTATTTCACAATGTTCTTCTCATTGTGACCCAGCAGAAGTTGGGGTGTTCTGCCCATCAGGTAGATGGTGGGCAAGGAAATTTCCACAGCTGTCAAAGTCACTGAGTGCTGTGTATTGGAAATGTCTGATATCTCCAGAGTGGCGTTCAACCATCAGGTGACATCAAAAGAATGTCTTCCTCATAGGGTGGGTTGGGTCTCTTGACTTCATTCCTCCAGCAGCAGCAGTGGCAGAATGTTATCAAATAAGACCTGAACAAGTTCTCCCAAAACAACCGATACTCCATCCTAACAAACAAGGAAACAAGTTCTCCTCTTGGTGGAATTCTCTGCCCAGAGCCCTAATGGAAGCCCTTGATTTCTTGCAGACACTGATGAGTGCCACTCAAGCCCCTGTCTGAATGGAGCTACCTGCGTTGATGGCATCGACTCTTTCAAATGCTTATGCCTTCCCAGCTACGGAGGGGACCTGTGTGAGATCGGTACGGCCTACTCGGCTTCAGCTAATCTTACTAACAGCCTCATTACCTCCTTCCAGCCCTGTCCCCAGAAAGCTGAGCCCAGGTGCTCCCATCAGCCCTGCCCTCATCTCATTAGCTAACCTCTAACAGCAGCTTGGCACACAGTAGGGAAAAGCTTTGAGCCTTTTTCTTTCATATTCTGATTCATTTCTTCATCACAGCATCGTGTTCTCTAAGATTCCCAAGCAGGGACCTCTGGTGTCCTCTTCAGCTGTCTTGTTTGTGTTCAGCTTCTCTGGTGAAGCTGCATGCAGACTGTGATGGTGTTGATCGCTGCGTCTTTGGGTCAAGGGTCTTTCTGTTCATCTGTGACAGTAGGGAAACATCTGAGTACATCTCCACCCCAGGCAAACTTTCTCTGCTAGACTGGAATTTCATGGAAGGATGCTTCAACTGAGCCATGTAAAAATGATTGTGTTTCACTCTGTGAAGAAGCCTCCTTCACTCCAGGAGCCTCCACCGATGTGACACAGCATGACATTTCTGTCATCTCTTCAACGTGGCTTCCTGTGGTAAAGCCAGCAGGGAATGTGTATCTGAGAAAACACGAAGTGACCTATTTTTACTTCAAAATGAGGCGCACTCTGACCTGCACTAATACTTCTTTTTGTTTCTGCAAGAAGGAAAAAAAAAGCAGTTTTTTGTTCTTAAAACTGATGAAAGGCAGAACTTCTATCAGCTGAACTGAGAGGAAGGTCCCCTGCCTTGCTCAAGCAAGAGGAATAAGTTGCATTTCTTACTCACCTTGACATGAGTCACGCTAATATGCATTGGGTTTTTCTTCATCTTTCTCTTTGTCTCTCTTTCTGCTTTCAATATGAGCGTACAGAGTAGATGGTAAAAAAGTCTCAGGATTTCTGGACCATTTGGGCAGGAATGGTGCTGTCTTTATGTCTCTTTGTCAATGCAACTTAATCAGCTTCTGATTTACCTATCCCTGCTGCCTTTTGTTCTGCCAGAAGACTCCTACCCTGCAGCTGCTCGTGACGTTTGGTCCAAGCAAGACTTAATTTTCTCTTTTCTCTTTTCTATGATTTATGGGTTCATAGTGCCTGCATCCCATTTTCTGGGTGATGCAAGAAGAAAGAAAGGACTCACATTCAGTGGTGAATGTAATTCTTTATTATTGCCATGAGGCAGATCTTCCTTTCCCTAAAATCTATCAGTCTCCAGGACACTGCAGGAGTCAGTCCTTCCTGTCACGATGTCAGTGTCCCTTCCATGATTTTTTGCTGATATTTTCCAGTGTGATTGCCTAGAGCTTCAACTGCTTACAGATATTCCATTTGATCTGTTAGAAAGCACAGAAAACATTGAAATTCCTCACCTTGCTACCAGCCCTCCCAACACCTGTGGAGCATCTGCAGTCTTCAGTTGGAAGAAGACCAGAAGGGCGGATCAGCAGGAATTTGTGTTACTGAAGGCAACAGTGCTCTGACCTACCAAGATTAACAACAGAAGAAAGAAACTGAGCACAGAAAACCTTACTGTACACGGAGGGAGGCATGAGGACTGATGGAATCCCACCCCAAGAGCAGCAAGTTCCTGCTCACATCTCTTTGTTCCCATCTTGGATGGGTTGCTTTTCTTCCAAAACCCAGAACCACAGCAAGGAATGTGACTGCTTCATCCTGGGCTCTCACCACTCAATTCCTTTTTGATGTATGAAGGTCGATTCTGGTATGGAGATTCAGGTTTCAAAGATAATTTCCAAAGCAACAAAACTCTGCAGGAGGAAAAAAGAGGGTTGTTGCTTTGATCAGATCCTCAAAAATAGTCGAGGAAGACAAAGGGGGATGAAATTGTTCTGAAATAACTCTGTGTCACTTGAATTTTCTGATAGCACTCGTCACTTTATGACAAGCACAGGATCTCCAGCATAGGCTTCCCTCTCTTCTGCATTTGTCTTGGGTACCTTCTGATCATTTTCCCTGGGATGCCATGCAGACAATACTGTCAGGTTTTGCTTTTTAGAGGAGATGACCATGTGTTGTCCTGTGCCACAAGTGTGTCAGCTGCCAAGAGGTGAGTTGGAAAGCAGTCAGACATTGCACCAACTCCTCTTCAACCCTCCTTTGTGTGTTTCAGACCTGGCAAACTGTGAGGAAGGCTGGATCAAGTTCCAGGGCCACTGCTACAGGCACTTTGAAGAGAGGGAGACATGGATGGACGCAGAGTCCAGGTGCCGAGAACATCAAGCCCACCTGAGCAGCATCATTACTCCAGAGGAACAAGAATTTGTGAACAGTGAGTGTTGGGGGCTGCCTGGGGGACATGAGAACAGGGAGGGGTCCATCCATTGGACTCCACATTTATGGTGCAGAGGTTTGTGCAAAATAATGTAAAAAGCAAGTGCTAGATGACTCCAGGGCCCCAGGTCCAGAAGGGGTGAGTTGGCAAAGGGATGCCTGCACATAGCATGGTGAGCCAGCACCTATCCTTCTATCCCTGTTCTGTTCTCTCAGGCCATGCACAGGACTATCAGTGGATCGGCCTCAGTGACAGAGCTGTGGAGAATGACTTCCGCTGGTCTGATGGGCACTCACTGGTGAGTAACTGGGATGGACCCAGTCCTCAGCCTTGGGCTGGGAATTGGTGTTCTTGGTGGGAGGAATGGTGCTGGGGACAGAGCCCTCGAGTGACACAGTGAGTGCTTGGATAAAGTGTAAAGGCAGCCCTCAGCTAAATGGTTTTTCTGGTTTTAACCAGCTCTGGTGAAACCAGACCTGAGCAGAGGCTGAGCTCCATGGCACCATGGCCATAGGCATATTGCTGCAGGAGCAGTGCAGGTAGCTGTGGTCTCTAGAAGGTGGAGTCAGGAGGAGACACAAAAGAGGGAAGGAGAGTGGGGACTCAGGCTCAAGTGTCTTCCTCTCCCCCCAGCAATTTGAGAACTGGCGGCCCAACCAACCTGACAACTTCTTCTCCGCGGGTGAGGACTGCGTTGTGATGATCTGGCATGAGCAAGGCGAATGGAACGACGTCCCCTGCAACTATCACCTGCCTTTCACATGCAAGAAGGGAACAGGTGAACCCCTGCTCTGCACCAGCAAGATGGGGGTGATTCAATCAATGGCCATAGGGTTGGGGCATGAGGGGAATGAGCCTTTGTTCTGCCACTGAGCTCTGTGTGAGTAACAGCCCCATGTTCAGCCAGGAAAGCTCATGCTGTAAGCCTGCCTCCCACTGAAGTTTGTATGAACTTAGGTTTCTTTGGACTTCTTTAGCAATAGTGCCTTTTTGTAGTATCTCCGTCTATTCCCCTCCTAAGGAAACAATCTCCCCATTCTCAGCTTATTCTCTAGCCCTGGGTCTGACTGATGGATGTTATAAAAGCTCGAGGGGTATCACCTGTCCATGTGGGTCCTAGAAACTATCTGGATCAGAAATGCCATTACTGCAGGGGAATAACGAGAGAGGGCATCACTCCCACCACGTCAGGGATGGGCACAGTGGTTGCATCTTTCCACCCCATCAGTGGCCTCACTTAAAGGACAGAAGGAGCGGCCATCACCCACTTACAGACACCACAGAATCATTATGTTTGGAAAAGACCACTAATATCACCTAATCCAGCCGTCAACCCATCCCCACTGTGCCCTCAGTCCCACATCTCCACAGTTCTTGAGCACCTCCAGGGATGGTGACTCCACCACCTCCCTGGGCAGCTGCATCACCACTCTTTCTGAGTTTTTCCTAATATCCAACCTGCACCTCCCCTGGTGCAACTTGAGGCCATTCCTTATTGTCCCCATGGGGCAGCGCAGGAGAAGCAGCAATGGGGCTGATGGGTTGAGAGCTGGCTGCCATGGGTTCTCCATCTCTTATTGTCTTTACCCATTTCCTGCAGTTGCCTGTGGGGACCCACCTGTAGTGGAGAACGCCCGGACCTTTGGCCGGAAGAAGGACCGCTATGAGATCAACTCCCTGGTGCGGTACCAGTGTGACCATGGCTACATCCAGCGCCACGTGCCCACCATCCGCTGCCAGCCCAACGGGCACTGGGAGGAGCCGCGGATATCCTGCATAAACCGTACGTCTCAGCCATCCCGTCCCAATCATCCACACCTGTGGGATGGTGGAGAGGGATGCCCTTGGCCAATTTTTTCCCCCCATCTCTCCCCTGCGGATGCGGATGTTCAAGGTGCTCAATGTTCACAGCTGTGAGAAATGGGAATCGAATTAATCATAGAATCACAAAATGGCTTGAGTTGGAAGGGACCTTAAAGATTACCCACCTCCAACCTCCTGCTGTGGGCTGGTTGCCCCCCACTGCATCAGACTGCCCAGGACCCATCCAACCCGGCCTTGAGTACCTCAGGTGCATTGGGTGGCACTGGGTGTAGGGCAGTGCTGAGCCATAGGGAGATGCTCTGCTGAAAGCTTTCCCAAGGTAGGGCTGAGGGATGGAGCAAAAAGCTTAATAAGGCTACTTAAAGAAAAGAAGAAAAAAGGAGCAGCTCTTGCAGCTGGTGAGTAGCAGAGGACGGGAGTGGGGAGCCCTGCTGAGGAGACAGGGCTGGCCCCAGGGATGGGGCCGGGTTCCTGGCCCTCCTCAAGGCGTCCCGGCCCATTCCCAGGCTGCCTACACCCCGCTCCCATCCCTGCTTGGAGCTTCCCAACAATGACATCGAGCTCAGCCAAATCACATCCATCAAATGCCGGCCGGCTCCTGGCCAGCTTCGCTCCAGCCCAGTCCCAGAGCTGGGGAAAGCAGGCGGGAGGGACGGAGGAGAGCACAGTGAGGAGGAGAGCACTCCTGGTGCTGCGTTTTCCCTGCTTTTCTTCCTCCCCTGTTTCTCCTCATCCCTCTAACGATGCCATTTCTCCCCGCAGCCTCCAGCTACCAGCGCCGGCTATACAAGAGGAGCCCCCGGAGCCGGTCGAGACCCGGTGTCATGCACAGACCCACCCATTAGAGCGGGGCGAGGGGTGAGCAGAGAGAGAAAAGAGAGATTTTTATGGAACACTTATATTAACAGAGGCGATTTCTTCTTCTTGTTGTTGCTTTTTTGTCATATAAGGAAAAAAAAAAAAATTATATTACAGACAAACCCACCTTTGTGTATATATATATAAAAAAAGAAAAAAAAAAAATTAATGTTTTCCAAGCACCAAAGCAAAGCAAACTAGAAGTCAGCATTCTTACTAACGGTCCGGTTCCAATTATCGTCGTGCCTTCGGGGACAGGGAGGGGGGTGGGATCGCAGAGGGCAGGGGGTTAAGTTAAATAATAAAGATGATTATTTTTTTCCTGATTTTATCCACGAACAATGTAATTATTTCTGTTATTTAATCTCCGGGGTGAACAGCACCTTTTGGGGTTAATTTTATTTTATTTTTTTTTTCCAGAATCCTACTGCTGCGGCGCGTCGGGGTGGGTGGGGAGAGGGGCAGTGAATGTACCGGGAGGGCCGGGGGCTGTGGTGGGGGGAACCGGGGGGAGGCTGAGAGCCCCCCACCACCGCCCCACAGCGCTGCGCCCATCCCGGGACGACATGCTCTTTCCAGGGGACCGTGCGGGGCACCAGCGTTCCCTGCACCTATTTATATTTTTTGAACATATCCTATTTTGAAAGAGTGATAAATAATAAAGAGAGCGAAATCGGAAAGGGTCGTTGTGGTTTTTTTTTTTGGGGGGGGGATCAGGGCAGCTGTGGGGGGTAGGGTAGCAGGGAAAGAAGGCATTCCAAAGGGACAGAAGGGCGGGGGGACCCCTGGCACTGAATGCAGATGAGAACGGGATGGGGCGGGAGGTGCTCAGGAGGGGTTAACCCCAGGAACACACTCCAGCTAAAACCCAACAGCAGGAAAACCCACTACTAGCAGATGCTTCACCCTCTGCTTTCCAGATCAGGGTTTAATTTGCACTCATTATGAGGCGGCTCAGCCAAGGATGTGGCATGCATGGCACATTCCTCACTGCTCCATGCATGTCCCTGGGTATCTTGCTGGGGGACCCCAACTTCTCTCCATTTCTCACACTGAGACAGAAGTGGGGACACTGCCACATTGCTCTAGGGCTTTCTCCACTGATTTATTTAGAAGAAGTCCAGGAAAATACATCATCTTTTTCATAACAAAACACTTGAAAGAAGAAGGCACCAGAGTTCAAATGGGGTCCGGGCGTGGGGTGCATGGATATAAGGCACGAGCACCACCACGGGGACTGGCACAGCAGCATCCTTCAGTGGGATGGGACGAGACTGCAGCAGGGATGGGATGCAGCAGGGCTGGGGTGTAGGGGAGATGCCTACTCCATGCCCTGGTCCCATGCAGTCAGGGACAGGGAACTAGGATGGAGGGAGAGGGGCCATCGTCCTTGCATGTAGCCCATATGGAGCCAGTCCCCTGCTTTAGAGCAGGATGCTCCTGCCCAGCCTCCTGCTGCATTCAGAAAGTGTAAAACATAAAGGAAGAAAAATTCAAACCAAAGAAGCTTCCCCCTACCCAGTCACTCCCAAAACAGCCCTGGGTTCACCCAAGGCCAGGCACCGTTGGGATGGGAACATCCTCAGGCCGGGTAGGAACTCTCCTCATTCCTTATCTCTCCTTGTAGCAGAAAACTCCAAACCTGCCCTTGCTGGGGAAGCCAAAGCTGCGCACGCCGGGCTCCGCGGGGCCGCAGTTGGCACGGGGCTTGGCGATGGGGTAGCGGACACTGCCATCCGCCAGCCAGCCAGCATCACAGCGGTCCAACCCGTGGAACTTCCATGCAGAGTAGAGGTGTCCCACTTTGGCAATCTCAGCGCCAGCGTCCTGGCACGCCTGCTTGGCTTCCTCCAATGTCATTCTGGTTGGGTGCTCCAGGTAGAAAACCTCCCCTATAAAGGAGAGAGGGATCAGGAGGGAAGTGCATGGGGCTGAGCATCACTCGCAGCATCGCCGCGCGCCATATCCTTAGGGACAACAAGAACATAGGATGCCACCACGTGGCACAACCCCTTGGGTACCCACCTCGGAGTGTGGAGGAGAAGCAGAAGACATCAAAGCGGTGCAGGTGGAGGTGGCGGGGGCCGTAGCTGCGGATGCCCGGGGCGAGGTGCACCCCGCCGCAGGGTTTGCGGGGCAGGCGGATGGGGTAATGCACGGTGCCATCGGCCAGCCAGCCCGCATTGCACCAGTCCAGCCCCTCGCTCCAGGCCTGGAAAAGCTGGTGGAAGGTGGCGATGAGGGCACCCTGCTCCTGGCACACTTTCTCGGCTTCGTGGAAGTTGAGGCTGTACTGCCCGCGGGGTGGTTGGTAGGGGAACACGATGCCTGGGGGCACACGGGGTGCTCAGAGGGCAGCATGCCCACCCACCCCAAAGTCAAACTCTATCACCCCAGGGTGCAGGGCCACCAGCAGCACAGAGATGCTCTGGGCATGCAGCCATCAGCAACAAGATGCCAGCGACATCTGGTGGCACAGGGACAGAGAGGCTCAGTGCTGGGGACACGTGTAACCACGCATGGGAACAGCACTGGTGCGCATGGGGATGGGGATGCTCAGACCAGGGTAACAGGGACATACGGAGCACGGTCCTAGCACACCCACAATGTCTCAGTGGGGTGAAACATTGCCGTGTGAATAAACAGTCTGCAGGAACAGGGACATAGAGGACAGTGGGGCATAGGCTGCCCAGACTGTGGGTGCTCAAGGCCATGTTGGAAGGGACCCTGGACAACCTGAACTGGTGGGTATAACCAGCCCACGGCAGGGGGTTGGAGCTGGGTGATCTTAGATGTCCCTTCCAACCCAAGCCTTTCTGTGATGAATACCATCAAGGTCGCCAACAGGGAGATGGCCAGACCCTTGTCATGGAGATGGCTGGTCCATAGGAACCCATAAGCCTACAGCTCCCCACTAAGCCCCAAGGCATCACTCTGACTATCCCGACCTCTTTCTGCCTATGGCCTCTCCCAGCCCACCCGCACTGCTGCCACCCAAGGGCCATGCTGGCCAGTCCCCACCTCGCAGCCGAAGCTCCACCACATCACTCGCATCCTCCAGCCCATCGATGACTTCACAGCGGTATTTGCCATCATCCTGCAGGCGCACGTCGCTGATGAGCAGCGAGGCATCGCGCTGCCCGGTCCGGTGGAAGTGAGCACGGCCTCGGAAGTCCCCAAAGGCCATGTAGGTTTTGCCAATGGCCACCAGCACATCCTGCTCCTTGGTGTAGTCATCTCGCAGCTTGGACCACTTGATGCGGATCTTGTGCTTGGCCTCAGATTCGGGCTCGTGGTGGTAGTGGCAAGGCAGGGTGACATTAGCACCACTGAAGCTATAGATGGGGTCTTTGGAGGTCTCAACCACCAGCCTGACCCCATTGAAATCAATCACTGGGGACAAGGAGGGAAGATGTGAGGGAATGGTCCTCACCTCTACCTGCAGCTGTTCCACTCCCTCCCTCCAGCCACCTCCTCAGTTTGCCTGAGCATCCCCTGAGCACTCCATGTGCTCCTCTAGGCTCCCAACTTGTGGGTCCCATCCCCTTCCTAGAGGTGGAGGGAGCATCTCAGCCTCTTGCCATGACTCTCCAGTCCCCTCAGCCCGTGGTACCTTTCTCGTGCCCGTTATCATCGTCATTCATGATGTGGTTGTAATAGAAGCCGTTGTAGAAGGGGTGGTAGGAGTTGACCAGCCGCAGCAGGGCAGCCTTGAAGAGCAGTGAGAGCAGCAGCATGGCTGGGGAATGAGGCTGGACCCTGGGCCTTCACAGAATCATAGGATCGTTAAGGTTGGATAAGACCACTAAGTTCACCTAGTATGACCATCAACCCATCCCCACCACACCTTACTGCCACATCCCCACAGTTCTTGAAACCTCCAGGGACGGTGACTCCACCGCCTTCCTGGGCAGCTGTGCCACTGCATCACCACAGTTTCAGATAATACATTTTCCCTAATATCTGACCTGACACTCCCCCTGATACAAGGGCAACTTGAAGCCATTACCCCTCACCCTACCAATGTCTAGAAAAGTACCAGTGTTCCCTCTGCAGCCGGTTAACCACCCACAATTGCTTCAAGACAGCCCCACACCAGCCACTCTTCATACTGGGTGGTGTAGGGTGATCCCAAAATGGCCATTGTTCCCCGACACACAAGGACACAAGCAGAGGGGTGTCCCCATGCAACACACCAACCACATCCCATAGGAGAATCCCGGTGCCCCACGTCCCCGCAGCCCTTCTCCTGCTGGCACCCAAGGGTGACACTCAGGGCGGGCAGCGGAGCTTGCAGGCTTCCCCGGAGCCGGCAGAGGGGGCCCGGCACCCACGGAGCCTCCCGCAGCCCCTGCAAGGAGGGGTTTGACATCCGCACCCCAGGTTGAGACGAGGTTTAGGAGTGCTGCAACAGGGTGCTGGAGTCCGCAGCGGCGACAGTGCTGGGGACAGAGGTGACCCCCGGCCATGCCACCAGGGCAGGGGAGCGCAGCTGGATGCTCCCAGCATGGGATGGGATGGTACCCCATCACCCGGTGCCACCTCTCTGTGCTACATGCACACACACAGCCACGTGCTGCGGGCACGGGGCGGTGGGACGGGCACGAACCACCCGCAGGCTCACACGTTGGGCTGGGGACACTGAGCCTCACCCCGCTGCATCCCCAACCTCATGGCATGGTGACGTGCCAGCGTGCCAGCATCCTTCAACGCTACGCTGGGCAGCGTTGTGCTCACCGTGCTCACAGTGCTCGTGGTGTGGAGCACGGCGATGTCCAGCAGCGATGCCCAGCACCCATGCGGTGATGCTGTCCCTGCCGTCCCTCCTCATCCCACACAGTGCCTCACCCCGTGTGCCACCCGTCCCCGTCCCCAACCCCATCCCCTGCCCCACTCACGGCGGGCAGCGGCAGCAGGCAGCGGGCAGGCTGCAGGCAGATGCAGTGTGTTTAGGACTCTCAGGGTTGAGAGGAAGCAGCTCCAGGGCCTGCCTCTTAAAGGGAAACACACGCTATTCCCAACCCCCTGCTCTTAGGATGGAGTAGGGGTGGGTGCCCCGAGCCCCCTGCCTGCCTGTCACACCCAGCCAGAGCCGTGTGCCATCACTGCATGCCTCTGCATGATGCGTTGCTCACCAGCATTGCCCAGTGCTAGGGAGAAGATGAAGGGAAAGGTGTGCTCCATTGGGGATGCTGAAACCTTGGGGTGAGCCCCGTGATGCCCTACTCACAGCCTCACGCACCGCCACAGAGCACTTTGCATCCCACCACAGAACCAACTTTTGGCAATGGCAGTGCCATGCAAGCACAGTGCAGGAGTGCCACGAGCACGAGCAGCTCCAGGATAGTGGGTTTGGGAGGTCTGTACCAAAACCTTTAGACTATCTGGCTGCACCCCTATGCCAGGGCATCACCCACGTAACTCCAGAGCCACCCCCAGGCTGGGCACTGCCAGGCCTCGGGGCCACACGTGTGCCCTGAGCCTGCACTGCTTTGTTGTTTTACAGCGAGGAAATGAGGCACGGGGCCCTGCTCCCTGCTCCCTGCCCCCTGCACCCTGCCCCACCGTGCAGGATGGCGTCAAACCGGAAAGAAAACACCGCGTGTGAAAATAAAGCATCCGCCGACCCCATCCTGCAGGCACTGAGCCCGTCTGGCACTGGAGAGGGCTGATAGGGGCTGGGACACGGTGGTATCAGCCACGTCCCATGTGGCTGTGTCCCCGTGGGAAGCATGGCTGGGATCATTGGGACTCACAGGGTCTCACAGCTCTGCTCAGCCGTCCTAATCAAGGGACAGAGATACAGAGCGTGGCTGCCATGCACACAGCTGAGCTTCGGATGCTGAGGGGCACAGTTAGTGCGCACTGTTGGCAGTAGCTAGATAACAGGACTGGATGATCTCAGAAGTCTTTTCCAGCCTTAATGGTTCTATGATTCTCTGACACTGAGCCGCGTGGCACTGCCACAGGGTCTCCATGGAGGGGCATCCCCGGTGCGTGACGGCCGGCACGACGCCGCGCTGCTCCATGGCCCACAATGAGGTGATTACCTCTCCCAGCACCGTGTCCCCGTGCTGCAGCCACACCACGGTCCCCTCCTGTCGGGGCACGCTGCTCCTTGGCGCCGCCATCCCATTGTTTGCCAGAGGAGGAAAAAGCTGCAGTGTGCCCAAAGCACCCCGCAAAGAGCCCTCCCTGGGAGAAGGGTGCTTTGTGACCCCCATTCTCGGCGCTTGGAGGATGATCCTGGAGCTGGGCTTGGAGCTGAGCTCCCCAGGGATAGATTCAAGTGGGTCGGTGGGGCAAGCAGCACTGTGGGGTCAGCACAGATCCGACCCAGCGGTGTGTGAGATGGGCACGTGTTTGGGGATGGATCAAACAGAGCCATAAAGGTGTCAGCTCTGCTGCTCAGCCTCCAAGCCGGTGAATGGTAGCTTTGACCTGGTCCTGGAGGGGGATTTCTTGGCAAAACGCTGCTTGCACAGGACACAGCTCAGTATCTGCCAGCAGCTCCAGAGGGAACCCACGCTTGAGGCTGGAAGTGGGGAGGGAAACCCAGATCTGCTGCAGAATGGAAGGGGCTGTGAGCAGTGCTGGGTTTCCGGGTGCTGGTGAGAGGATGCTGTCCTGCGGCTGCTTCCTGCAGGCGGGCAGTGGGGTGCCGCAGCGTGCCAGCCTTCCTGCCTCCAGGAACAGCATCCGAGGGGCAGGGATGGGGGTCTGCGTGGGGTGAGGGAGCTCTCACTGCCCTCAAAGGTGCTGGGCAGGAGGAAGGAAATGTTGTGGGGAAGGGCTCAGAGCCTCTCAGTGGGCAGTGGTGACAACTGCAGTGATATGTGGCTTTGGCTCCTTTTGCCCTCCCTGCAGAGCCTTCCCTACCTCAGAGCTGTCTAGCCAGACTCAGAGCAGGCTGCCCTTATCTCTGCTGCTGCTTCCCGGCGATAAGGGGGCACGTCTGGGTGGGACTGTTGTCCCCCCTGCTCTGGCTCTGGGTGCTATTTGTCTCCGAGAGGCCATGGCTGCGGTGAATGCAGGAGGTAATGGAGGGATGCAGAGGGCTCTGGGCCATTCATGTCAGCCTCAGGGTCTCTACTCAGTGGCAGAGCTCCTCCACCACACCCCAATGCCCCTTCTCTCCCAGGCGAGGGGTCCCAACCAGCAGCCCCCATCCTGCACCATGCCCAGGAGGTTTGGCCACAGCTTCCTCAAAGCTGCAGCTCTGAGAGCAGTTTTGCTCCAAGCTGGGGATCTGCTCCAGGATCAAAGCCAAAGGAGGATGCGCAGGGTGTGGGGTGCTGATAGTAGTTTCCCATCCCCATGTCCCATCGCGTTGTGTTCAGCCAGCTGCAGGCACAGGTTCCAGCAGCTGGGATGGGGTGGAGGCCGGGGGGAGGATGCATGCAGCCATGGTACTGTTTTTTGGAGAAAGGAAGGGAAGCAGGAGGGTGTGAGGCAGGAGGGATGCCTCTGAGAGACGCCAAGCACAGAGCAGTGAGCCAACAACCCAAAGTTTCAGTTTTAATACTGTCAACAACACCCTGGAGCAAGGCTGTGCCACCTGGGTCCCCTCGGTCCTTCCCAAAGCCAGCCCAGCGCTGTGGCCACATCCCATACCAGTCCATAGGGACAATGGTGCCACCAACACTTTCCTAGCTGCCATCCCACTTGCTGGTGCTGGCTCAATGCTTTCCCACTGCCCATCCCAACAGCTCCAGCATCGCCACCCCGAAAAAGGGAAAAATCAGGTTACAGAAAGGATCAGGGGTCTGTTTTTGGGCTGTTCCACCACCTCCTCCAGCTGCTCCATGACAATAGTGTTGGTACCCTGGGAATGTGATCAAAACGGAAAAAAAAAAAAAATTGTTGAGATCAACCCTGGCTTGAGCTACAGGGTGCCCAGGGTGAGTGTCCCTCACCACTCGACCCCACAGACCCATGGGTTTGCTCTCTTGGGGGCTGAGGAGGGCTCTCAGCTGCCACAAGATCAGTGCAGCAGGAAGAACTACTGATAGGAGCAGCCTTTCCCCCTCTCAGCACTCCCCTCACACTATGCAGCGCTGATACAGCCCGCAGAGAGCCCCAGGGCCTGGCAGAAGGGATAAGGCTGAGGTTTGCAGCTCCTTCACATGGCCATGCAGGGAGGAGGAGGGATGGTAGAGGTTAGGTATGATCCCCCACAACGGCTGAGCCCTGAATTACGGTGCGGTGCACGTAGGGCGCTGCTGCTGACTGCTAGAAGCAGAGGGAAAAAGGGAGAAAAGTCATCTCCAGGCCTAGGGGAGGCTGCAACAAGAACCTGCATGCAGGATAGAGTCCCACAGCCAAGATCCATTTGCAAAGGAGGAAGTCTCACTCACAGCTTGTAGGACAGAAGGGCAGGAGCCATCCCTGCATCCTACCCAGAGCAGCCCCATAAAGTGCAGTGCTGCAGCCCCAGCGCAGGGCAGGGGACCCCCTGAGGCAAGGCAGCGCCTGGAGCCTCCCTCCAAAATTCAGGGAAGAAGAGAGGGAGGTGTGAGCAGGAGGTGTGTGGGGTGGGCAGAGTGTGGGCCGGGTGATGGGGATGGGGCTGTCACTCCTTCATGCCCCCCCCTACTCGTCACAGCCCAGCAGCTCGACACGCAGTGTGATGCGGTTGTGCCAGGCCACGGGCAGGATGCGCACAAAGCGGGCATAGAAGGGCACATCAAAGACATTCTTCTTGTGTGAGTAGTTGTCGCTGTTGCCGTGGAAGATCTGGGGGGAGAAAGAAGCAGTCAGCATCACAGGGACCCCGACACCATTTACGCACGACCCTCAAGCTGGGAGGTGTCCCCAAGCCCCCACAGCTCGTTGTCCCCATACCTTGGTGCTGTTGGTCTGGCTGTCCCTGTACACAGTCCAGGAGGTGCCATTGTCACTGTATGCCACTTTGTAGGCTGCCACGTACTGGATGTGGCCAAAGTCACGAGCTCCCTGCGTAACGATGCCCGTCACCTTCTTCTGGTCCCGTAGGTCAATCTGGAATAGAGATGGGGCTGAGTCCCTGGGTACTGCTCAACCAACCCTTGCCCCACCAGAGCATTAGTCCCAGCAGGACTAATGAAATGCTGTGGGGAAATATTTGACCCCTGAGCACCCTCAGGGCAGGGAACTGCTCCCCACACATCACTGCGGCTGCTTTGGCACCTTGTGCTGGAGAGGTCAATGTGGGAATGATGGCAAAAATCCCACTTTTAAAAAAATAATTAAAAAGGACTCCCAGAGGAAATGCATTTCCAATAGAAAGTGATTCTGGATGAGAAAATACGCAGCTGAATGCAGGCTGACATTTGGGCTGTGAGGGAGATGGTTTCTGTTCTGTTTGCTTTGCTTCCTGCCCTGCCACACTGCGTTACTGCTGCTGGCACAGTGCAGGGTAACACAGCTAAAGAGCCAAAGGTCTCCTTAATTTTGTTCCTTCTTTATGTTCGTTTAGGGCCACACTAACCACACATATATGTATATATTTACATATATATGGGTGTACATGTGAATCTACCTACACGTCCACAGGCACACAGCCTTCAGTGTCAGAACCCAGCGCAGTGTCACCGCAACCCCGCTGGGAGATGTCCTGATAAGCTGGTTCATTCCGGGCTGAGGAGCAGCTGCTTTTAATCATTCCCCAAATAAAATTAAAAGCGGGACAAATATCTAAACAGCTTTGTCCCATTATGTCATGAAATCATGTGAAAAGTATAAAAACAGCGGAGCAAAGGAAACCGAGAAGGAAATTTCAGAACTATTTGTTCCCATTCCAGACCGGGAATAGAAGCACAAACCTGATCCTTGCTGCAAAACAGAGGGGAGGAGTTGGGCTGGGGTGCATGGAGATGTGCCATGAGCCCTCCCAGCCCTTACCCACCTGCAGCCACTCGGATGGGTCATTGTGCAGTGCTGTCCAGGCATTCGTCTTGCCCATCTTGTCCAGGCGGGCATAATGGGGATACCAGGTAAAGGCATCAATGCCCCACGTCTTGAAGACACTGGAGGCTGTGATCTGCTGGTCAGAGATCAGGCGGGATTTCATGCCCAGAGGCTCCGAGCAACCTGCCGTGTTGAAATACACTGTAACACAACGGTTTATACAGACAGTGAAAGGGAAAGAGTCCAAAGCACCATCACCCGACCGCAGCCAGCAGAGCCCCACACACCCAGTGGCACATCCCCACGGTCATAGCAGGACCTGGGAACACAGGAAAGCACCACAGAGGTGCAGGGATGCAGTTCACCAGCTCTCCTGGGTCCAGCCAGGATGGTGTTTTCAGAGCAGAACTATTCCCTGCAGCACAGTGCCTCCTGCTGCAGCCCCGCAGCACAGCCCGGCACAAGCACACACCTCGGTCCTGGGCAGCAGCAGGATGTGGCTCAGAGCCCAGCGCCAGGCACTGCCTAGGACGTGTGCTTAGCAGGAATGCGGGGAGGCGAGGGGCAAGCTGAGGGCTCTGGCTAATCATCAGTCACGTTTCCCACGGGACTTTGATCTTCTGCTGCTTGTTAAGCTCTCCCGCAGGAAAACCAGCCGGGTCGGGGCTCAGATAGGGAACAATGAGAAACCACAGACTGAAGTGAGACAGCTTGGGAAGGTGTAAGCAGTGTGAGAGTGCAGCTCGGCCCAGCTGAGCTGTGGGATTAACAGCCCCTAAAGCTCCCAGCACCGTGAGAAGAATGAACACCCGCTGGCCAAACGGGGACCAGCAGTGGCCCAGGGGGGCATTTACCATTCATCTCGCAGCCGATGAGCTCGAGGCGCAGGGTGCAGGCACGGCGGCACACCACGGGGTAGATGCGGATGAACTGTGCTGTGATGGGAGGGTCAAACATGTTGGTCTGCATGGTGCCGTAGTCCACGTTCCCCTGGAAAATCTGACACAGCACACAAGGCTGAGCCCCCAGCATCCTGCAGCCCCCTGCCCACTGCACAGAGTTTGGTGCCCCAGATGGGCAGAGCAGGGAAGCTGGGCTACCCGAGGACTGCACGATGCTGGCAGCATCCCTAACTCTTTTAACACAACAGCTATGACTGCAGTCCCCAAAATGTGACACCTGCTTGAAAAGAGTGCTGTAAGGTCATGTTTACATGTGGTTTTTTTTCCAGCACTGTGGAGATGAGTGAGACTTTTTGTCAGTTAAAGCAGGCAGATATTCCCAGCCCTTCCTTGGATGCAGAGAAAGCAGTCAGGATGCATTTGCCATAAAAAAATTGGAGAGTGCTGCACTCAGTGACTTGAGGCTGTGAGATACACAGTGGGCTTGTGCTCAGCACAGAGCATTGCAAGCTGTTCACCAGCATCTGCAGACCATGCCCACATCCCACTGTGTGTCAGCTACAAAGTCATAATCCAAATGACCCCAATAAACCAGTGCTGCTCCTTTGTCTGTGCTACGAGTTGTGGGTGCCCCATCCCTGGACGTGCCCAAGACCAGGTTGGGTGGGACCCTGGGCAGCCTGGGCTGGTGGGGGACAACCAGACCACGGCAGGGTGTCAGAACAGAATGGCCTTTCAATCTAAGCCATTCTATGATTCTATGATTCTGGTCAAGCAGATGCTGCTGGGATGGCTCTCTGCGTGGTCCTGACCTAAGCCCAACACCCAGCCCCATATCCCAGCCCACCTTGTCTGTGTTGAGCTTCTCATCCTTGCAGAAGGTGAACTCACGCCCATCTAGGCTGTAGGCCACTTTATAGGCACGCACGTACTCCGCCTTGCCCACACGGCGAGCACCTTGTGTGACAATGCCAGTCAGCCTCATCTTCCTCAGCAGGTTGGCCTGGAGAAGACAAGAAGGTGAGCGTGGTCTGCATCCAGATGTAAACAGACCTACACTTTACTCTTCCCATCAGTACCTGGATCCATGGGCTCTTGTCATAGTTGCTGGAGGTCCACGCGTTGACAATGCCGTGGTTGTTGAGGCGAGCGAGCTCTGGCCCCCAGCGCTGGAGGCCAAGGAAACCATAGTAGACGGAGGAGGCTGAGAGCTGTGCATCAGAGATGGCTCCTCCTTCCATGCCCAGGGGAATGGCACAGCCTGAGGATGGCAGCAAAGGGAGGAGGTGAAGAGGGAACAATGCCAGGAGCTCATTTGCCACTGTCAGAGTACTGGACAGGAGGTGGCACCTCCACCTCCGTCAGGACTAGGCTCAGTGCAGCACACTGGCACTGCATGCTGATGATAACTCTTCTACAGGACAGGGATGGAAAGGGATCTCTGAGGAATCAGCACCGGGGACTTACGGGCATGGCAAGTCTTCCCAAAGAAGGGAGAAGGACACTTGCAGGCGTAGTCACCATCCATGTCCATGCAGGTGCCCCCATTTCTGCAAGGCTCTGAGGAGCATTCATTCTTGTCTGGAAGGCAGAGGAGGTGGGGGGCTCAGGAGGTTATCCTAGAGCCAGGGCATCCCCCAGAGCAGAGCCCTGTGGTCCCCGACCTGTCACCTTGGTGCCCCCTTAGTTCCCTGCTGTACTTACTGTTCTGGCAGTGCACACCATCATACCCTGTGGGGCACTTGCAGATGTAGTCAGTGAAGACATCCCCTCGATTTGGGACCAACTGGCACTCACCATTGTTGTGGCAAGGATTGGGGTGGCAAGGGCCTGGGAAAAGAGAACGGAGGAAAATGGGTTCTCAGCTGGGCACAGGTGGGAAATAAGAGCACCCAGAGTGTTTTGAGGATGCAATACAGTTCATTTCTGTTGAAGCAGTCAGCACATTCTCGTTGTGTGCCAATCACCTGTGATGCGAACACAGGTTCCTCCCCAAGCCTCACCTTTTTCTGTTTCATTGCAGTCAATCCCAACAAAGCCTTCAGGGCAGATGCAGAAGAAGGGGGTTTCATTGATGCCAGTCAGGCAGGTACCCCCATTCTGACAGTAGTTCACACTGCAGAAGTCACCTGTCAGCAAAGCCATGTGTCACTGTGAGCCATCCTAATGCTGGGCAGCCACCACAATCCCAGCTTCACGTGGAGGTGGCCCTATCCCAGGCTGGCAGGAGAAGCCCAGCCTGGCGGGACCCATGTGCTGGGTATCTCAGGAAGAGCAGTGACCAACAGAGGTAGCTGGGACAGGCACGCAGGGCTCCTTGGGCACAGAAAAACGTGTTAGACAGAGTCTGAATGTCAAATCAGAGCCCAGGGAATGTTGCTGCGCCAGGGAGCAGGGCTAGCCAGGCTGGGGCACCATGCCATGAGCAGGACAGGATTATTGCAGGGAATCAGGCAGCTCACATTGCTGGGTTTTCCTAACAAAAGTTAGCATTTGCAAGACAAAACATTCCTTGTAGGGGGGGGCCACATGTCTCAGCTCAGATGCTGGAGGCACAGGAGGAAGAACTGTCCTACTCTGTGTGATGCTGCATGGCATCAGGGAACTCCCCTCACCTCCAATGTATTTTGCACTCTCCATAAACACGGAGCAGATTTCCACCAGAGTGGCTGAAAGTTGAACTAATTGCATGCAGGGTGCTAGAACAGTGCATCACTTGGTGCCAGCTCTTTGCTGAGCTCAGAGCAAGGCTTGAACTCAGGCGGAGACCCAGGGACCACCCCCACTACCTGCAAGGCCCGCAAGCAGCAGACAACATAGCTCTCATTAGCCTAATCTATCACTTAGCAAGCTCCTATCATCAGTCTTTTAATAGCAGGGCTCCTCCAAGGTAATCCCACTCTCCCCAACACTCCACAACTGCAGGGTGCGCACTGGGAGCAGGCAGGCCAGGCAGGACCCGAAGTTACACGCCGATTTCCAAAAGGTGCAGTGTCTCCCTCAGCCCAGCCTCGGGAGGCAGAAAAATTTGGGCAGCGGTTCAAGTCGCTGCCTGCACTGCCCAGCGCGTTCTGCATGACCTCATGCTCCATCAATGCGCTGCCATGAGCTACGGCGCGGGAGGAGAGGGCTCAGGCTGATACACTGGGACACCTTTGCCCCACGCAGGTCTGGGATGCATCCCTGTGCTGAAGGATGCATCCCAGACATGGACAGCGATGCCAGCGCCCTGCAGCTCCCTGTGATGTGTGCTCCTCGGCAGCCCAGAGTTCCAGGGGTGGGACGTAGCAAGCAAAGGAGAAGTGGTGTAAAATTCCCCACATTTCTTCCCAGGGTTGGGACGGGAGGGGTCCCGCTGCTAGATTTATGCTTTGCTTTTTGCAAGTAAGCAGACTCATCCCCTCCCAGAATTATCCTGTACGTTCAACGTCTCCTCGCCAGCCCCCTGCCCAGCAGCACAGCACACAGGTCACGGTTTCCGCTGGAGATCAAGATGCTTCTATTTCTTGGCCTTCTCAGAACAGTTCAGCCCCTCCATCCTTCCCACGTGCATTTCTCTGGTCAAGGCTAGTGCTGCCGCAGACTGGACAGCCAGCAGCCGAAGCAACAGAGCAGCCACCGCTTTGGGAAATGTTTGCTTATATGAACCCATGGGCTGGCGGGAAAGCAAAAACAACATCCTCCGAAACCCAGCGGGGCTGGGGAGGCAGGGTCAGGGTTGCCTGCACGGGTACCCAGAACGGCCCCAACAGAGCCTCCAGCAGCACCCCTCGGCCCATCCCACAGCCCGCACGTGGCTCTGCACCCCTTTCCCCGTTCACCCATCCCTTTGGGGTCACGCACCCCATCGGGACGCACGGGAGGTGCCGCATTAACCGCTCTCAGGAGCTGTTTACATTGCTGGCAAGCTTATCCTCGCCTGCAAGCACTGGACATAGCGCGGCTCGGTTATGCACGGCTTCCAGGCTCCGTCATACCCTTCCCCCTGCGCTCTCAGGGCTGCGCACCCCGGCCCCGTCCCGGGATCACAGCACCCAACTCACCGGCCACCACCACGAGCAGCGTGAGTCCCAGCGCCAGCAGGAGCAGCGCTTGCCACTGCCTCACTGTCTTCATGCTGAGTGCCGAGCCGAGCCGAGCCGAGCCGAGCCGAGCCGAGCCGAGCCGAGCCGAGCCGTACAGCTCCACTCCGCCGCGGGGCTCGGGGCGGGGAGTGACTCAGCCCAGCCCGGCTCGACCCGGCCCGGCCCCACGTGCTCCGCTGCCCGCCCCCAGGGCGGTCCCGGCCCGGCCCCTCGGAGTCCCGCAGCGGCTGCCCCACGGGTCGTGGCCATGGGGGGGTGCCGAAGCAAAATGGGCATCGTAGGGCAAGGTACTGAATTAGCAGCCTGGAAGCGAGGTGTTGGGTGCACCCACACGGCAGCAGCATGCTGGGTGTGCACGGCACGCTGCGGGGAGGGCTGTCACGGTGCGAACAAGCTGCTCTTTGAGTGGTGTCCACTCAGACCCTGTGCTGGAAAAGCCCCGCTGTATTTTCCAGGGTTGGTGCCAAGTGAGGAGCTCGGCCCCATAAGGCAGGAACAGTGGGGCTAAGCAGTCTCAGGTTGAATTCATATTCAGCAGCAACCGCTTCTGAGGAGGGTACAGGAAACCACACGGTAAATGAATGCAGGACGATTTGCTTCTGCGCTGGAAATCCACTCCTCTCCCTCCTCCCGAACACAAAGCTGATCTTATCTCCTCTTGCAAAATGCCCCGTTTTAGAGTTAACTGATCAACTGCAGATAGTTCCATGCTGCTCAGTGTTGACTCTTCCCCAGAACTGCACCTCTCCTGGCTTTGGCATCTCAGCAGCTCAGCTGTGTTGCTCTGCACTGTAACCCATCTCATTTTCCATCTCCATTCCAGCACCCAGCCACTCAAGCACAGTGCCTTTGAGGTGCAGCCAGGTGCCCACATCCCACTAACAAAGTCCTGTACATATCCCCGGAGCAGTGGGGCGTGAGGAATGTGGGGAGCATGCACACAGTGCCCACACAGATTTCCATTTGTTAGCGATGGAGAGACCAGCAAGCCTTTAGCTCCTGCTCGGTGAGAAGCAGTGGCTGGAAAGGAGAGAGAGGACGGGATGCAGCACTTGCTTTCTAACAACCCCTCAAGCTCAGGGTAATTGCTGCTGTTGTGTTGAGTGGAAAACAAGGTCAGGAGGAGGAGAGCACAGGGCAAGATTCCCAGGGCTGTACACAAGCAACTAGGACAAGGGTGTTTGTTTTGCTGTTCAAGGGGCAACTGCCTGGACGTGTCTAAGAGAGGATGCAGGACCCAGAGGGAGCTACAGAGAAATCAGCAGCCTCTCTAAAAACAACTAGCAGAATGTTTTCCTTCTGTCCCCTGGGGCATGAATGTTGATGTCCCTGCTAGTGCATGGGAAAGGATATTAAGAACAGAGATGGGGAGGGCTGGCAGAGCCCTGCTCCCTGTAGGATCCCTGTCCTGACTGCACGAGGTTTCATAAATGGGGACCTGTAGAGGAATGGTGACCCCTGGGCTGCAGGGCTGGGAGGACCCTGTGCTGGGGGATCCCAGCTGGAAGAGGAAAGAAGCACATGAAGGGAGAGCAGTAACCTGCAGAGCACAGGGAAGTGGTGATGCATGAAGACAGCCCCGCACCACACCCGGCTTCATGCAGCCAAGTTTTCGCAAGGGATGGCTCTACTTGAAAGAGTTGGGCAGGTCAAAGGTCAGGCATAATTTCACTCCCTTCTGCAGGGACTACTTAGGCCTTGTTATAGCAGGATTTACCACTGGGTTTGGTTTCTCCTTTGGAAAGATCTTCCAAGCCCAGCAGTGCTGTAACCCTTTGTGAGTCGCACAGATAGCCCTATCCTGGGCCACAGAGCTGGGGTGATAAGGAAGGACATAGTGATGGGGCTGCATGTTTCTGAAGCACAATCCTCTTTGTTTCCAATCTCACACAGAGATGTTCCCTTGACTGAGGCAATAACCCCCAGCTTCCAGTTGCTCAAGAGCAAAATTCGTGCCAGCAGCTACCAGCCATAAAGGCCCATGGGTTTTGTCTCACAGCCTGTGCTGCAGTTTCGGCTATTATTTCTGCTATCCTTCTGTTACGAAGTTCAATGGCTCAGGTTTATCTGGCAATCAGAGCAACGTTACACCCAGAAGAAATCCTGACCCACTGCAGCCACCTCAGTGCTGAACACATCCCATTCCTCCAGCAGCTCCAGACAAAGACCAAGGAAGGTTTGTTGTGTTGCCCCGTGGAACAAACCCTCTGTCCTGCCACACGTCTGCTCCTCCGAGCAGGAGAAGCCACTCACAGCACCATCTCAGACACTTAAGCCCCAGCCTGCCCCTAATCCCCCTAACTGGATAACCCTGTGCTCAGTGCCAGCATCCCGAGCCTCCCACAGCCCAGTCTGCCCCACGTCACCAACCACCCGCTGCCAGCTCATGGTTTCCGATGGCTGCAGGACACATCTGTGGCCAGGCCAATCCTCGCATCTGGCTCAGCTATTCTGTTTATTTTCTAGAGGGGAAAAAAAAAAAAAAAAAAAAAAGCTTTCCAAATCCTCTGCCCTTTCCATGAAAAGGGCAATGGTTTCTTTAAACATTAAACTTGCAGGGATGCTAATGCCTAGGTAGCAGGAAATTCAGGGCTGTCTGAAGGAACCTAGACACTGAATATCCTTAGGGCATGGAAAGCTCTTTATGAGTTCCCTTTGGGGTGTGAATTAAAAGGAAGGCAGCAAAGGGCAGCACGCTTCCCCAGTTTGCTCAGCTCCTGCTGCTGATGGTGTCAGGGCTCAGATGAGATCCTCACCCGTTCAGCTTCAAGTCCTTTGCTCTAACCTCGATAAACAAGATTAGATCCAGATTAGAGCTGGTGTGTCTGTGTAAGGTGCTTAATGTAAGCACCTTTATATAACCCCTTCTCTGAATTCAAGTGCTGTGCAGTCTTTAAGGTTTTATGCATGCTGTTTCTCTAACAGAAAAGGTGTTGCTTTGTCTTCACACTACAGATGGGAAACCAAGGGCTGGAGGGGCTTGAGGAGAGGACAGGACTCCCTTTTTTTGGTCTGATAGGCACGGATGTGGGCTCGGTCTCTTAGAGATGTATTCTCAAAGCTCAACCCAATCTGGAGGAACTCCCGGGGTCAGCTTGGCTGCTGGTGGTGGCAATTCACCACAGTGCCTCCCAGGATGGGAAGGACAAAGCAGACCCCAAATTCAGCCCCCACCCCTCAACAAGAACTGGCACTGTGTTGCAGTGCATGACCGAAACTGCTCATCGATCAGCATGAGTGACCCTGGCATGCCCCACTGTGAGCAGATGCTACAGGCAGATAAGCCATGTCTCTTTTGTTCTTTTTTCAAGAAGCTCTTGGCAAGCTCCCCCCCTTGACAGGAAAAAAAAAAAAAAACCAAACACTAAATTGCACACTCGATAACTTTATCACCTAGGTTCCTCTGATAAGTGAGGTTTTATGGCAAGGGACAGCTCTCCTGCTATCGGGACGGCTCCTTGCTCAAGCCATCCGTGTGGTGCACGTGTTCTCAGCACATGCTTCCCTGCAGGACTGTAGGGCCAGAATGAGCTCCTGATCTGATCAAACACCTGGGGCCCCACAGCACTAATGCTTTATGAATATGTACCAGCAATAATGAACTTTGGGTGCTGGGCCAAGAGCTGCGGGGAGCCCAGAACCTGTCCTACCGGCTGGTTGAGGGTGGTTTGCTCATTAGGGCACGCTCCCTCCTCCATCCCACCCGCCTATCCATGCAGGAGAGGCTCTGCCCAGCCCTGGGCCTCCTTCATTTGCCAAACTGCCTTTGATCTCTGTATCTCACAGGGTAATTAGAAGGCTGAGCCCTGCCTCGCCCCCTACCCATGCCTCCCCCTTGCTCTTATCCCCCCAGAGCCAGGTGAGGTGACTTGCCACAGCTCTGGGATGTGTTTCATCCTGAAGAGAGGCAAGTTCGGTGCCTTTTGAGGTGCATTCCAGCAGCCACATCTATGGCTGAGGTGGCAGAACACAGAGCCCTGTCTCTATTTCTTTGGGGTCATACCTCCAACACAAGCCCTGCAGCCCACAGCAGCTCTTGGAGGCCACCAAGAGTCCCCAAAGCCCCCCATGCAGTAGGAGCTGCTCTCCCAACCCAAACAGACCCCGGTAGGGTTGAAGCTCTTTCCCAGGTGCCTCCGGCCCCGTGGGCTGCATCCTGTAGAGCCACAGCGGAAACCACAGCAGGAGCATCCTTGGCACCAAGCTCCACACCCAGGAGAGCCGGCTCTGCTGCCTGCTCCTCCTCTGCCACAGCTCCTCCTCTCCTCATAAGGAAATGAAAACAAACTCCAGGCCAGACATGTGTCCCCAGTGAAACCCACGTGTCAGCACCAGGCAGGGCTGCTGCTTGCTCCAGGTGCCCAGACCCAACAGGGAAGATGCATACACCCAAGGCACAGCACACCTGGGGAACCTCCATAGGGTTTTTAGCAGCAGACACATGGCAGAACACTTCTTAGTGCTCTGTTTTGCACCAGACCCTCATAAAGCCTCCAAGCAGGAAGGCGTTTCCGTCTCCCCGCCCAGAGGTTTACACTAACACATGTTTAAGCCATCCACTCTGCTAGTCACACCCCAGTCCTCCTCCTCTATGGGAACTTCCGCTGTGCTGGTGACCTTGCCCAGGGCTCTGGGAGCAATGTCACCCACAGCAGCAGCTGTCATACCAGCAACACTCCAGCACCTGCACATCTGCTGCAGCTTTGCCCATGCCACCACCTCTGCAGGCATCAGAGCTGCCAGACCTCAGCTGAACTGAAAGGACAGAGGAGGTGGGAAACAACTGGAAAAAGAAGCAATAAGAACAGGAAGCCTGCTCCCACTGAAACTGCTCTCTTACTTTCTGTGTCACAGTGACAAGGGTTGTTACAATACCCAGAGATAAACATTTCAGCAATTTTCTGGCCAAGGAGAGAATCAGATTGCATTCTGCCAACAAATCCCCTCTTGGCATATCCATTTTACAGTTCCCTTCTGCTGCCTTGCCACCCTGCCCCACAATGCAAATTCCTGTTTGCAAACCCCATGCATCCCAGCGGCTGCTAGAGGACTTACATAGGCTCAGCTCCAGGGCTGAGTCCCTCACTGGCA